GATATTGTATGCAACGAATATTGTCTTGGTAGCCTAAGAACACGTTTTGGGCAATCAGTCTCAGTCCATGACTCCATTCTTCGGCAACTACGGTGCAAGGCCGATACTGTAGAAACTTGCAATTTGTACCCTTGACCTTGACAAAGTGGCGTGGGGTGCCATTATCTAGGTAGTCTCAACCATCTCTATTATGCAGATGATATGGTCATTCTTTCGCCTACGCCTTTTGGGCTTCAAAAATTGCTGAACATTTGCTCCGAGTATGCGAAAGATCATGACATTCTATTCAATACTAAAAAGACAGTCTGCATGGCCATGCTTCCCGTGAGTCTTCGAAATCTATCACTCCCTAAGATATCATTGTGCAATAGTGTGCTTTCATATGTCGACGAATATAAGTATCTTGGATACCACATTTCGAGCACACGAACCAAAGTGGACAATGTCGAGATTTGTCATCAGTACCGATCACTGTGTTGTCGTGCCAATTCATTGAGTCGTAAATTCGCTTTATGTACATATTCGGTTAAAAAGTATTTGTACAATGCATATTGTTCTAACATCAGCTACATGCATTTATGGCACTCGTTTCATGCATCGGTTCTTCGGAAATTTAAAGTGTGTTTCAATAACGCTGCTAGAATGTTTTTAGGCTACCCTAAATATTGTAGTGCCTCTGGAATGTTTGCGCAAGGACACATAGATGGCTTTGATGCGACCTACCGCAGAGCTGTGTGGAATTTCATGTCGCGTTTGAAAAAGTCAGAAAACCGAATAATGTCTACACTGTATTACAGTGATATCGCCCACACATCTCCTATGCGTAAAGTGTGGACTGCAGCATTGTGTGGTTGTTGATCGCTGCTGATGTTGGTCATGTACCCATGTCATCTTCATACCGTCATCATCATATGATTGTCACGTCATCATCATTGTGTGTTACTTCTTATGGACCCAGAGTCTGCCAATAAAGGGATCTCTCTCTCTCTCTCTCTCTCTTGACCTCAAACTTTAAATTAAGTACATGTTTTTAGTTGTTCGTGATGAGATCTTTCGATTGGCGTTTGAATTTTCCAAATCGGACCATTAGTTCGGGAGATAACAGGGGGGGGGGGGTAAAATTTACCCCCCCCCAGCCCCGCGCGTTCGGCTAGAGACCCCAGCCCCGCGCGGGTTAAGAACCGTCCGGAGTCGGAGTCTGAGTCGATTTTTGAAGCCGGGGTCGGAGTCGGAGTCACCCTAAAATCCATTTACTCCGCAGCCCTGGTATCAAATATGGGTAGGTACCTATATGATATCAAACATTTATATATCATTGGTGACCTATGATGACCTATGAACGCCAAACCCAGATAGTTCTTGTGACATCTCAAATGCTATGGTTGGCCTCAAACGTTCAAACTGCGCCGGATCTCGTTACCTTCGGATAACTCTGGAACGAATAAAGATACCTACAGCCACAGCGCTGCAAAAGGCCCTTTCGATAGCCCCTTTAAAGCTCTAGCGGACACATGACCTCAGGATTGACCTAAGGTCACTGGTTTATCCCCCTGGCAAAGACTCAAAACTGACGTTTTTGCGGAAAACCTTTTTTCTGCAACTACTTTTCACCCCAAGCTTAGAATGTCTTGATTTTCCCGGCGTCGTGTTTCTCTCACCGAGGCGCTTCGAATGCACTATAGTATGACCTTGAAGTCAAGTTGAAAATTTGACCCAAGGCCAAGGTCATGACCTGACCGGAGAGGTCATGCTGCATACCAGTCGAACCGTGTTGTTGGGCTGAACACATTCAAGATGTTTTTATTGCTGTCTATAAAAAGTTATAAAAAGTTGTAAAAAGTTGGTCCCATGCATTAGGGTGGGTGTCAAGGTCACCTGAAGGTCAGGTCAGGTCACTGACCTTTGATGACCTCGGTTCACTTTTTCGAGTTTTACATGTTTCTAGGCTAGTTTTTGGAGCTCAATTCGAACTTAGCCACCATTTGAGCTTTAGTTTTGGCACCTTCGTAACATGCTACGGTAACATGCTAGGCAGCTGACACCTACTACGGATACCCGGCAGGCATCCGTACCGTAGAAGTATCAGGTCAGCCCCTACTGGTTGACCTGACCTGACCTGACCCGACCTGGCCTAAATGCATGAGGACATCATCTGTGATAAAAAATAACATGATATTCGTGATCAGCACCCCGAAAAATCCCATCGCAGCCACACTTAACGACGTTCTAACTGCTAACAGGTCCCGCTGTTCCCGACTTTTGGATCATTGACCTGACTTGGGAAGGTCAACGAATGACCTAGGACCTTAAAATTGGGTATCATCGGCTTCCTTTCGTCACGGGCAGCACTCTCGTTTTTTCCGCGAAGCTCTAGCTCGATCAGGGGCGAAACGACAATGGGCGGGGGGGGGAGGGTTGACGCCCCCGCCCCCGGCTGGCAAAACAACAATACGGGCGAGGGTTAACGCGTTTAGACGTTATTTGCGAAAAACGGGAGGGGCACCCCCCCCCCCCCTAGCGGGGGCGGGTGAACCCGCGCCCCTCCCTTTTTTCTGCAATAACTTCTAAATCGCTTGACGTATCGACGCGAAACTTTCAGTACCTTCGGCGGCATCAATGTCACACCTTGTGTCAAAATTTGAACTTCGTAGCTACCATAGGTCGGCCGTAAATGACGTCAGAGTGACGTCATGTTCGGCCGATTTCGACGCATTACATGGAACCACGGCAATCGCTCCCAAGAGCTCAGTTTTTAAAGGTAGTGTGCCACCTTTGAAAGATTTCCCATTTTATTTTTCCTAGGATAAGAAGCTTCTGTTTTTACCTAATATCGCAAAGAAAATCAAAAATGGGCCTGGAATATTGCCTTTTTCGCCTAAAAGTTTATCGGTTTTTCGATATGTATAACAACTGTAGTGGGCTGACCTGCAAACAGGCGTCGGCAACAATCGCGAATGCGGCGCACATGTGACAATAAGCAAAGGTCATTATAGAGTTACGACGTACGGGAATGAGTTATCAGCTGTCTAATCGTAGACAACACAATGTCGAGCCTTAAACTGTAAGCCTGTATTGGTATTGTTTCTTTTATTTGGCTGTCGAACATTATTTATGGTTTGAAATATGATTTTATGTAAAATAATTGATATGAAAAAGCCGTCTCCTAAGTTATGACCCCATTTCACCACACGCAAGTGGCAGAAATGACAATGATCAGCTGACGCATTTTTCTTGGCCGAAGTCAGAGCGCGCGGCCCGACGCACCACCACCGCACCACAAAGTATGAGCAGAAGCCGCGCCCAAAGCCAGGGCCCCGGTAACGTGAGGTAGCCGAGTCGGGGCAGCGTGCGCTGACCCAAGCCGGGGCCGCAGCTTTGGGCGCGGTCTACCGCATCCCCGCGGGCAGCCCCGGGCTATCACATGACACCGGGAGGACGCGCGGCCCCGGCTTGGGTCAGCGCACGCTGCCCCGACTCGGCTACCTCACGTTACCGGGGCCCTGGCTTTGGGCGCGGTCTACCGCACCACCTAACAGGCGTGTTCGAAACCGCAGGAGATGATGATGAACGGGTTTATCGAAACTTGATTGGATGAGCCTATCGGTAATAGCGATTTCAGTGTGTGCATTTATTGTTCATAGTGGTGTGAAATGTGGTTGGGGTACGACCGACAACCCGTCGGGGCGAATTTCGCACTGGGGTACTCAAAATTTGAAGAATTTAAGACGTTTCCATGAGTTTTGAAGGTATGGATAAGTTCTAAAAATCCGGTTCTCCTTATCTGGGCCATTAACTCCATACGTCCAGGAAAGCTGGCACACTACCTTTAAGCTAGCTCCAATTTCTTTGCATGAGAGGACTCAGAATAGACTGCGCAATCAAAATGTTATCTCGGATTTTAAAATTTTGAAATTTTTAAAATGATATATATTGAAATTCAAAATTGATATTTTTATCTTTCTTTCATTAAGTTTTTGACTTTTCGTAAAAACCGGAATATATGTAATAGAACACATGCTTATGACCTACTCTAGCAAGTTTTAGCCAGATATCTTAAAAAATGGCCAAGTTATACGCATTATAGCAAAAATTTCATAATAATAAATTTTTCAAACCAATTTATCAGTAGGTATTTGACATCATACACCAATAAAAATAGCACCATCGTGTTCCTGAGCTCAAACTGCATCTGATAAACCCCTTTTTTGTTGAAAAACTTAAACTTGAAAATTTGACCCTTTTTGACCTAAAAGTGGCCTGACCTAAGCTAAGTACAACTCAAAATGACCTCGAATGACATAAATGACATCGAATTCGAAATCTATGGCCTAAAAGGACCATAATACGTGTCACGTGACCGAGGCATGATATAATATTTCCGTGACCTCAGATGACCTGACACTGGGCTTGACGTCCGAGGTTAAAAATGGCCAAGTTATACGCATTATAGAAAAAATTTCATAATAATAAATTTTTCAAACCAATTTATCAGTAGGTATTTGACATCATACACCAATAAAAATAGCACCATCGTGTTCCTGAGCTCAAACTGCATCTGATAAACCCCTTTTTTGTTGAAAAACTTAAACTTGAAAATTTGACCTTTTTTGACCTAAAAGTGGCCTGACCTAAGCTAAGTACAACTCAAAATGACCTCGAATGACATAAATGACATCGAATTCGAAATCTATGGCCTAAAAGGACCATAATACGTGTCACGTGACCGAGGCATGATATAATATTTCCGTGACCTCAGATGACCTGACACTGGGCTTGACGTCCGAGGTTGTCAGAATGTCAGGTATACGCAAACGACGCAAACGGGCAAATGCTTTGGCATCAGTCGCCACAGTTCGTATCGGGTAACACGATTATTTGTTGGCGAGGCTCCACTAGCGAGCCGGAAAGGAGCTCGCGACTGTTCCTGCCCCCCCCCCCCTCTACTCAAAGAAAAAATTGGCACAGAAAACAGTTACGTTTTTGTCCCGTCAAACAGATAGTTTGTCAATGCAACATGTTATATTATATTAAAAAATCTTGGAGTAATGTTTATGTACTGTTCACAAGTTCGCAATCCTACGGGTGGAAAATAAAGATCGCCTAGTTTGCATCTCAAACTGACTTAGCGGTTAGCTGAAATATTCAACAATCATCAAAACAATATTGTTTTCATGGCATGAAAAATATGCTACCAGTATCCGGGAAAGGCTGACAACACGCGACATCACACCGCTCACACAGACACAGTGACAATGCAGACACCACACACGGGGTGGGGATGGCGTACCCCGGCCCCTAAAACAAGTATCACAACGGCGGCGCGTCAGAAGATGGGACCCTCCTCCAGCGCGTCATCCTCGGGGTCCAGGTAATCCTCCCCGTTATCGAAGTAGTCCTGGATGTAGTCGGTCCCCTCGTCCAGCTCCACGTCCTCCGTCTCTCCGACCTCCTCGTCCGACTCCTGGCCGGCCTCCTTCTCCTCGGTCCGCTCCTCGGCGTCTCCCTCCGTCTCCTTCTTCTCCAGCTTCTCCAGACGCTTGGTGACGTCCGCGTCCCGTCGCGCCGCCTTGGCCGGCGCCGGGCCGGTCCGGTCGCGCCGCCGCTTGCGCACGGCCACAGAGGCCAGTTTGAGTTCGGCCGGTATCCGCGAGAGGTCCGTGTGCCGGTCAGCCTGCGCGCCGCCGGCCGCCTGATCCAGGTAGCGGTCCGAGTAGCGCTCGATGCTGCCGCGCACCGCCGGAGGGGTGACATACGACGGCGAGTCGTGCCAGAAGATGGAGAGCTCCTTCTTGATGACCAGCATGTAGTCCTGCTGCAGGTCGGCGTCCAGCGGCAGAGGTTTGGTGCTCAGGGGAGGGAAGATGGGCGGCGGCGCCACGGCCGCCTGCGGCAGCGCCTCGCCCCGGCCGAAACCCAGCGCCTCCACATTGAACGACATGTTGGCACCGCGCCCCCGGCCGCGCCCGCGTCCGCCCATGGCTGCGGTGGGAGGTCCAACGACTCGGTAATACGGTCACTGAGGAAAGGCAGCCGCTCGTACGCACGTGAGCAGGCGTTTAGGCGGTCTGCAGCTGCTTAGATACCGGCACCGAGGCTGGGGCTTCCTCCTCTAGGAAGTCATCCTGAAATGGAGAAAACGGAACTCACGTACGATAATAGATTTCCCTTCTTCTGGAAAGCTTGTATGTGTGTGTGTGTGCGTTTTTTTTGTTGAAGGCCACTAACCAGTTTATGTTCAAACTAATGGCAGAGCCACTATTTGGATAATCATATCCTCATATTGATCAAATGCCTTCTGAGTCTGCATATCATTCTTACAGCAGCAAAGAAAAGAACAAAAACTGAACATCCACATTCCACAACACCTTAGACCTGTAGCATGCACATTCAAACAGATAAATAATGGATTACCACATCAGCAATACTGAAACTGCCACAACCCATACTTTTTCCAAAAGTCTTCATCATTACAACTCAACCAGGAAAACTTTGGTGAATATCATAGGTATGTTACTGACAATTTTAAGCCTCTGAAGACTTAAAGCATGAAAATGTCAGCAGTTCAGCCAGGACTCAGGAGCATGCTCCAATGACTTGAAAAATTCTAAGCACATACCTATCTATTGCATTGCAATGCATACCTGATCATAGATGACCCTGATAATTAGTGAGCAGGATGGACAAGTAGCTACTTCTTCGCCAGCAATCAATTCTTCCTGGAAGAAGATTGAGATCATTAATATCAACAGCAACATGTCAGTTCATTCTTTTCATCAGAACACACTCAGCACATCAAACTCCCTTTGCAGTTGTCCCACCTGATTAACACAGTCATGTGTTAACTTGAACCCAACTTATAGAGGGTTTAATCAACTTCAAAGGAAATTCATCTTGATTGGTTTTTGGCCCATATTTCATATTTATCAGCTTCATCAGCTCCTACGAGTTACAACCAATCAACTCTAAAATTAAAGACTTTTGGGTTTACTCAATTATAGCTTTGTAAAGTATTTGAATCAACGGAAATCTCACCTTGGTTATGAGGAACTTGTCACCGCAAGGACATGGGTAGCTGAAAGTTTCAGTTTCCTCATCATACTCAAAATCTTCTATTTCTATCTCATCGTGGAAGACAGACATTGCATAACAAACAGTATTCAGAAACTGTCAGCAAGTCAAAGTGATACGATGCACGTCATGCAACGTGCTTATTAGTTCCCCTTTCAGCTTTATAATTTTTACAGTTTTAAGATAAACTCAACTGATTTGCGGAAATCATTCCAAAAATCCGCAGGCAGTCACACAACGACGCATCTATCACGTGTGCGTTTCCGCATGCCATGCAAATTGCATCATTGTATTCACTAAATAAAACCCACAAATGTCGTAGTTGGTCTTCGACCAATGACGGTGAAGCTCTTTATTTTTAGCGCATATCAAGCAGTACTAGTATCCTATATTGAACATAAATGCTAGCATTTCACGATGTTTTTTGTCTTTGGTGCGTAATAATCGAAACAAACTTCGAAACTATAAAAATATTGTACTTTCTGAATGCAAGTATATGAGTTGATTTTGAAACTCGTCCATTCTTTTTTGACAAGAACAACTTCAAAAAATAAACATAATTTTTATCTCACTGTCCTCTAAAATTACAAAAAGGTTGAATTTAACTTTGTTTTCAGAAAGAGCTAATAGTGTTCAAAATAAAACGTTTGCAAACCAAGGTTTATGATCGAACAAATCATGAAACTTGTTGAACAGCGTTTGGCGTTTTGATTGGTGTGCTTTCCATTCAAAGCGCTTTGTTCGGTGCAAAACTTTACCGAATGAACAGAAATCGAAAGCGTTTTACACGCAAGGGCTGGCGCCTGGCGATATAATTTGGAGACAAATAATTGCGGATAATTAGCTGGGAAATAACATTTTTACGTTGTAATTTGTGCTGTCATAACGTGTAAATATGTGATAATTTTATTTGTCTGATTCACGTTTAGGGGCGACCATCCACTGAACATTTCTGTTTCCAGAGGTAGGAAGGGACCCAAGATTCTTACAGAAGGGACCAAGAGGGGGACTCGTAGGCGCTACGATTCCAATTTCAATTTGGAACTGGCGTAAAGCCTTAACTAGATGTTGATATTTTTGCATAATTCGGGTATATTCTTTTCAATTTGATTTCAGGGGCAGGACCACCAGGTTGTTAGGATGTGGGCAACAATTATCATTTGTAATTTGTTGTATTTTACGATAGCTAAAGAATGGACGTCACATAATGCAATGGATCAGAATGTGAAAAATTGGCCCAAAATTGGGTCATGGCCTGCTTATTTTGGTGGAATCTGAAAAAGGCGCCTGCCACCTGTGGCGATTGGATCAAGGATCTTGAAATTTGCTTGACGTAATCACGTGACAATTTGAGACTGTTAAAGGCACCAAGAGGTGAAGAATATCCCAATAATCACATAACTAAAAATACCCACTGACACCCTGTTTTCAAATTCTACCCTTATTTCAGTCATCCTTCAGTTCTTGTCTTCAGTCCAAAATCAAACTTAAGTACCTGAACTCTGAACAAGTACCTATGTTTACATAATACATATCATATGTCACACATATGTAACATGATATCACACATATGCAACATATGTGTTCAATGTTCATATGTCCATACTGATGCCTACTCAAGTCTCAAAGTCAATAGTATCAGTATCCCTGGCATTTGGGCTTTCATGGACATATTAGTTTGTGTTTGCCCTTTTTTTGGCAACTAATGCCAGTTTTTACATTATTCTTGTTGTTATTTGTGTGTAATTTTTCAGCCTCTTGTTTTGTATGTTTTGTTTTGCTGCATTATAAGACTCAGTTGACAAACTAAATAGATACCCATGTGCCTCATTTTGTGCATATTATGCCATTTTCATTTTATATGTAGTAAGGGGCTGTTTTTTCAAATGATCATCACATGCATATGATATAGGTAATAAATTGCTTTAATGCCAAATTAAATAACAAATTCCTCTTGAATCTACTCATGGGAAATTGTCATTTGTCTGTTGTTTACAAATTGCAATCATTTATGATTATCTCCATTGCCAAAATCATTGGCTTGATTCCTTTCTGTTGGTTTATTCTTAATTATTTTATTCTTGTTTTGAATATTTTGAGCTGTTTTTCACATAGCAGATAAATGATATGGCAAATCAAGTGTGAGATACCCAACAAAGTGATCAGTCATGTAATTGTACTTCTTGCATCTCATCAGTATTATTTCACCATTGTTCCAAATTGGACTCTAATAGCCTGGTTTGCTATTAATATTTTAAATAGATAAGCAACCAAACTAAATATGTTTCTGTTTATCACACTGCTATTGGAAAACACAAAAATCTAGATGAGATCATGCTAAATTGGGCTGGGTCTATTGGTTTTCGCTGGTGTATAAAGCTATTGTATTTTTATTTTTTCATTTATTGCTTAATTTATTTATCAGTTATTTTCAGTAACTTTTACTGATTTTTTTTAATGTTAGCATGGTGGTTCATTATCTGTGGAATTTAAACAATACCTACTTTAACTTGGTAAGTCATTGACCTTCAATGGCAGTTTTCTTGAGTCAGCTTTAGGTGAGTTATAGTTTAACATAATTGCCTCAGTATTACTATAAGTAGAATTTGATGTTTATGTAGAAACATTTAATCCACCTATTTATGAGCCAGTGATTGGATTTTTCCTGTATGTTCCAGAATTCAGCTTTGTAGTTTTATCCTCAGTAAAGATCCTGCATCTTCCTGTTACCTATCATTCTAATAGCCATCTGAGGAAGAATGCCTAACTGGAAGTGGCAACTGGTGAGTCCAACGGACCTGATTTTAGGCCGTGTCCTCATCTGCCTCACTCCTTATTTGGAATATGATTAAAATGTTGTTAGGGTGCATCCTGATCTGACATCTGTTTTATTCCTTTCCTTGCCATCTGTTAGTACCCCATTGGTTTTAATCTTGGATTCACTGCTCACCGCGTGTTCCCGCGCTCTCCGTCCCCAGGGCGGTCGGATAGCGGCTGTCGGCGTTCGGCGCTCGTTACGCCGTCGGCGCAGGGTCGGAGACACGATGAACGGCGGCGGCACGCAGCACGTGGCCACGGTCACCCTGCCGGCCGGCCTGGACGTCAGTCTGGTGAGCTCGCCGGCTCCCACTACTCCCCTCTCCGTCGGACTGCCGGCCACGCGGCAGCGCAAATACAACTTCTCGTTTCGCGAGAAGGAGCTGCTGGTTTCGCTGATCGAGCGGCACGGCGGCGTGGTCGAGTCGCGCACTGGGGACGGCGTCACCATCGAACAGAAGGTGGCCGCCTGGGCCGACGTCCAGCAGCGCTTCAACCAGATGAACGGGCCCGCCCAGGAGCGCAGCGTCACAGAGCTGAAAAAGTGCTACTGGAACCTGAAGCAGAAGACCAAGAAGGCGCTGGATGCCGGCAGAGAGGCGGCGGCCACCGGCGGCTCGACCAAGATCGACCGCGTGCTCTGGAGGATCGCGCAGCTGGCGCCCGAACAGTTCGAGGGCCTGCTCGACCTGCACTGCGAGGTGGTGGACGCCGTGCCAGAGTTCGAGTCCAAAGGTGAGACGACGAGCGGCGGTGACAGGGGTGTTGGTCATCGTCACATGGCGTCAGTCATTTTACACGATTATCTGTGCTACTTCGCACAAAGTCACGTGGTTTGCAGAAGCTGTATGTAATGTGACAGTTCTTACTTCACTGTTGGACTTGATTCTCAGGTCAGATCGTTTTTGCATGACACGATCTGTCTGCGGCGCTCTATGGTCGGACTGACCCTGCTCTACTGTTTCCAGCGCCGAACATTGGCGATAAATGGGACATCGCCGGCCAGCTGTCGATCAAGCAGGACTCTGTGGACCTCTCTGACCTGGAGGCCTCTAACGCGTCGCGCGCTGACTCGCCCGAGCGGTCCCGCAGCGCTCCGTCGCCCTCCAACGAGATGGAGGTGTACCCCGTCATTCCGAGCGACTACCTGGCAGTGGAGATGCGGTCGACGTCCCCGCAGCAGCAGCAGACACAGCAGACGCCACAGCAGAATCAGCAGACACAGCAGCAGGCGCAGCAGCAGAATCAGCACCAGCAGCAGGCTCAGCACCAGCCGCTGCCGCCGCAGCCGTCCATGGTGCCCACCTCGCAGCAGGCAGCTCACCTGGCCACCCTCGCCGAGCAGTGGCGGGCGGCGGCCGGCCTCTGGACGCCACCCGGCCTACCCGAGCTGCATCGGCTGGTGAACGGCGGCGGGGCGGCGCACAGCCAGGCGGCGGCGGCGGCGGCGGCCGCGCTGGGCCAGGGTCTGAGCGCGCTGGCGACGTCCCGGCCGCGGCCGGTGCCGTCGGTGCCGGAGCCGGCCGGCGCCGAGAGGCGCGGCACCAAGAGGCCGGCCGGCGACCCGGAGACGGCAGAGCTGGAGCTGCGCCGGCTCGAGCACGAGTACAAAATGCGCCTGATGCGTCAGGAGGCCGAACAGATGGAGGCGCGCCACGCGCTGCAGATGCAGGTGCTCGAGCAGCAGCGCGCCTTCTGGAGCGAGGCGCTGGCGCGGGTGCGGCGCGGCGAGCCCACCATGCCGTTCGGCATGTAACGGCGCCGACGACTGCCCCATTTCGCCCCTCCCCTCCCCGCCCCGTCCCCCTCGACCAGTCAGCTGGTCACTCGGTCGGGTCGCCCCCCCCCCCCTCACTCACTCACTTCGCAACTGTCAGTATTGTAGTAGTGATACGCCACCGCAGGGACTTACGATGAGTGCTTCCATCGTGCGCGCGTTGTTGACTTTTGGCCGCGGATGCGGAGAAGGCCGGCATGATATTACTGCATCATGATATTAAACGTGTCATGACATTAATATGTCATGACTGACATTACGTCGTCTTTAGGCGTGTACAAAGTGTCTCGTTTTACAACGTTTCCTTGACGAAGAACAGTTTTTTGTAGCTATTTTCTTTAGAATATACTCGTCTATTTTTATGTCGATGTTTCTGGTGTAGCATTTTTTTTTGTGATATGGTAAAGTAATTCCATGAAAAGCCGCTAAGGAAGACACCGTTCACACCAAGGGACTTTGTCGTCCAAACCAACATTATCCCGCGCACTCAGAAGCGTTTTCCACTGCGAGTCCCTGCCAGGCTCCGCACTGCCACGTCGCTCTGGCGCCGCTAATGACTCATTATCAGCTCTCATTAGCCGTGTGCTGGCAATCAGTCGGCCGGCGGCGACGCTCAGTTGTCAGCTGGTCGTCCGCCCGGCGGTGTGAGAGGCGGACCGGAGAGTGCTACCGAGAGGGACAGCGCTGGATCCGGCGGCGGAGCAGGACACTAACGATGAACCTGCTCGGAGGCAGGTATGGACTGACTGGGGCTGAGAGACGGAGGATGGCGGGTGGCGAGGGTAAGTCTCGAGTGGGTCAGCGGGGAGGAATGGGGGTAGAAGGGGTAGGGGAAGGATCGACTGTGAGTCATTTGGATTGAGACCTATCTTCTGGTTCCCTCCCAAGATAAATGGGGACGATGACAAGTATTGCTATTTGCACATTGTCGCCCATGACGTAACAGATGCAGGTAATCCAAAGAAGCGTTTGCGCACTGGTGCATCACCGTGCTACTCTCCTGTATTGTGCTGTCGTTTCATCTGCACACCGCGAATCATGTCTCTAACTTCCATCAATGCCCGCACCAAACTGTGCCCACCTTCCATCCCTACCACCGTTAACATCCACCGTTCTCCAGGTCGGAGTCGGGCGGCGGGGGCGTCATCTACGACACGATGCACCTGGAGACTCTGGAGGAGCGGCGGCGCCGGCACGTCTCGTTCTGGCTGGTCTGCATCCGCACATCGTGCGCTTACATCGCGCTCTCGATGATCGTCCCCACCACCTGGCCCTACATGCAGAACGTGAGTTCAACGCGCCAGAAGGTGGTGCTGCTTTCTGTTGGCTGGGTCATGTTGCAACCTCTTGTTGTCTTGTCTGTATAATCTTTTTAATTAATTGGACGATATTGTGTTATGTAAGTCTGTCGCCGAGAATGCATTAATCGGTTTTATCAATCTCAACATCAATCGATCCCAGGACGTTGCGAGCAGCATTACTCGGTATCGACTATCGATATTGATTTCCGTGCTGGGTCACAGCTGTGGGGACACGGTAGTGACTAATGACGACCGAGCACCTCTGAACTGACGGTCCGACTGACGTCACGTCAGCTGACGGTGCGGGTAATATTCCGTCAGAGCGATTTGAGCATGAATTCGATGGGCGCCAATGTTTCCGGTCAACATGTTCCGGGCGTTTCATAGTTGACCAATCCCAACAAATGACTCCATCTGATTTACCGGTGTAAAATGAAATCAGAGGCTAAGCATATTACAGGGGAACGCTGGAGAGTTGTGAGCCATACAGGTGCTTCCCGAATGTACTGTGGTACCTACTACCAGCCATCCAACCTTTACAAGCACGCTGTTGCTCCCATTCCCCCATTGTTATCGTCAGCTGGACCCTGCGGCCCGTAAGACGGACGCCGCCTGGATCATCTCCGGCATGTTCATCGCGCGGATCGCAAATAACGCGCTGCTGGGTCCGGTGCTGCGCCTCATGTCGCTCCGCACGCTGGCGCTGCTCACCTCCGTGATGGTGATGGCCAGCTACGTGATGTGGGCGCTGGCCTACCTGGTGCCCAGCCACCCGTTCTACCTGCTGGCCGCGTCCCGCGCCATCGACGGACTCTTCGGCAGTGAGTGGCGGGACGAGATAACGGGCTGGGGAGGCTGGGTCCGTGTTCACTAAAGGTCAAGTGTCCAGGACGGTGCTACAATACCGCAAAGGCGTGCTTTTGAATGTCTTCCTTCAGGCCTGATATTGGCTTCCAGGGAGTTGTTAGTACACAGTGATATCGTCATGCATTCCTATCAATAGTTCATACCATGGGTATATTTATGGCAAGTCAGTTAACGTCCATGAATCACCTGAATTCTCATAAGTTCATATCGTTCCGTCATATTGACCTTGTGTCTGCCCCATGCCACCGTGACCCGTGTCTGTCAGGTGACACAGTGATCGGCTCTGTGTTCGTCACCCGCGGCACCACGTCCAAGGAGCGCGGCCCGGCCATGGCACTGCTGGCAGGGGCCGCCGCCGCCGCCTACATCCCCGGCGCAGGTCAGTCATACACGACAGTCAGACTCAGACAGACAGTGAGAGGTGTAGTGAAACAGCATGAATGCGTAGCAGTCAGATACCGGCAAGTCGGGCGACCGGAGTATATAGCCGATGGAAGACGGAGATAAAGGCGGGCAATGGGCGTAGCGTAGAAATGTTAGGGCGATGGTGGTGTGATATAGATTGCGCGATGCTGCGCTAACTAAAAAGTAGTACCTAGTAAAAAAAAAGTATGCTGGGCTAGCTAAAAAAGATCCCTTATTCAATGGCATCGCCTTCGACAGGCGCCACCACTTTCCTATCGCTGCGGGGCCCGGAGGGTGTGACCGTCCGCCTCCCTCTTTTCCACAGGCGCCACTACTCTGCTCTCGCTGCTGGGCCCGGAGGGTGTCACTGTGGGCGGCTACCGGTTCAACATGTACACCGTGGCCGGCATCACCGCCTTCAGCGTGTTCCTCGTCACCACCGTGCTACTCTACTTCTTCTTCTTCGACAACGAGATCGCCTACCAGGAGCTGGAGCTTGGCCTGGGCGGAGGCGGCGGAGGACTCGGCAGGAGGCGGGCGGACGGCGTGCGATCCAACTACGTCGGTATCGCCACCTGCATCATGGTCATGTGCAGCGTCGGCTGCATCCTGCTCTTCAACGACTCGTGAGTGGCAGCGCTGGGTGGTGGGTACGTCGAGCTCTGGGAGGCTGCTGAGTGCTGGGCCCTCGGTGTGTCTATTGGTCGGATTTTTTAAACGGTTTTGAACGATATTGAAAAGTAGCATTATTTAATGACATTCACAGCCTGCTGATGCCACTCATCCTCCGGATTCGTATCATTTCGGGTCTGGTAAGTATGCAAGCCTATCATTACTATTTACAGCTGGCGCTAACCGTGCCGTTATCGCCGCTGAGTCCTCTCATTGACCTGAGATGACCCCTATCTACCCACCAGTCTGCTGGTGCCCATGTTTATGGACATGAACGGCTGGCCCGAGGAGCGCGCCGTCCGCACATACGGCTTCCTCATGATGGGCTTCAGTCTCGTATCGACCACCATGTTCGTGGTCACGGCTAAACTGGCCAACAGGTCAGTAACCGGCCCAGGTCTGAGGTCAGATGGCCGAACTCGCCAACAGGTCAGTAACCGGCCCGGGTCTAAGGTCAGATGGCCGAACTCGCCAACAGGTCAGCGGTTCAGAACTGTTAGGTTACAGGATTTATGTCTGAGGTCGCAAGGCCAGTGTGGAATGGTAGCAGCTGGTTGGGAGTGCGCGAAGTTTAATTTTTCCATTTGAAATGTCTCTCGTCATCAAATTTTGGAACGTAACACGACGGCGTTTACCGTGCTGTAATATATCACATAATCGATTCCGCCCTTATATTTGTATGTCCCCCCAGGTTTGGCGAGCGTTCACTGCTGCTTGCTGGGTCCGTGGTCGGCTTCCTCGGGTTCTTTGTGTCGTTGCCTTGGGGCTCCGAGATGCCGCCGACCGTGGCGCCTCTGCCGGACACGATCGGAACTAACGCCACCGAGGCCTTGAGCGGGTGAGTGCGCGCTGGGCAGGATTACCAACGATGTTTTGATGCTTACTTGTCTAATGACTAAGGTAAACGTCTTGCAGTGTATGTCACACTATTATACGGGTCAACACACACCAATTGTAATGAATGCGACTGTTCAATTGACGCCCACCCGTTTCCCTATCAGCGCTGCCGTCATGGCCAACACCACGGAGTCTGCACAAGTTCCGCTGGGCTGTCCGCCCGAACAGAGCTGGTGAGTGGACCGGCCTCCGTCGTATGTCACCAATCTGTCACATATTTTCATACACTGCCCTCATTTATCGGCGTACATCCGTGCATTACAAAGAGAGCCTAATTAACAGGAATCAAAGCCCTCCGCAAATGTCCCGTTAGGCTTAGAATATGAGTATCGAAGACGGACATCGACATTACAAGGCCTAAAAGTACAAGTTTGCAGGCAAGGCGATCTTATGAATTTGGTGAACTCCATGCGCACTTTCCCCTGCCCTTCCTCATCAGCCGCCGCGTGTCTCCCGTTCAGGTGCGCCACGGTGCCGCGGATCTACCTGAGCCAGTACGTCACTGAACTGGTGCTGCATGGTATAGCAGTGGCCCTGCTGGCCTCCATGTGTAACGCCCTCTTCTCAAAGTGCCTCTCACCAGGATCGGAGGTGAGGTCAGAGACGGCTGGCGAAAACTTGGAGCGACGGCCGGTGGTAAAACTGCACAAAATAACGTCTTATCGTATAGATGACTAACTCTTCAAACTGAAACATACACCAACTTCAATCGATGATGTGTAGGCAGTTCAGTAGACGTTGTAAAGATATTGCAGGATTGGATACGATATCTTGCTGGGTGCATGCGTGACATTTGTCGTTCCTCAGACGCTCACACATTGTCTGACGGTACTCACTCCCGTCACAGGGTTTCTGGTGGGGCCTGATGAAGGCGATGGCCAACATCTCTCGTCTGGTGACTCCCGTGGCGTTCTCGTACCTGTACCAGTACGCCGGGCCGCGCGCCATGTACGGCACACTCTCCTCGCTGATGGCGGCCGTGCTGACGGTGACGCTCGTCTCGTACCGGCGACTGGTCAGCGCGCCCGGGAGGAAGGACGAGGAGACGCCGCTGCTGGCAGAGGTCGGTGGACTCGATAGCAGTTTACGTGTAGGGAGTGGACTGGGGAGGGATGCCGGGTCTGTTATACAGATGATGGGTGGTTTGGTCAGGTGGTTAAAGCCGGTATATACTTTGTCCTCTATGTTAAATGTTAATCATGTATCAGCATCAATTCAATGAACATCACAGAAACGAAAACATTCTGGTGATCCTCATTTCATATGCGTGATGCAGTGAGATGCAAATTTTGTTATCGTTTTGTTATCAGCTGTTATCGAACAGCCGTGCTCAGTTTGACGTAAGGCTGTCGTCTCGCCACCCCTCCTCCCCCTCTCCGAGACGCCCTGCATGGCCCCCTGATATTCTCACACTGCCCCCCCCCCCTCCGCAGAGCCGCAGCCGCCAGGTGAGTGGTTCAGAGACGCCGTGCATGGCCCGCTCCTCTGAGTACGGGAGCAGCGACCCGCCGGAGCACCTTCAGCTGAGCTCCGACTGCGGCGGCAGCGACCCCCCGGAGCAGCTGGAGTACCACTCCGCCGGCCGGGCCGACCAGCCGCCAGAGGCCGAGATTGAGTCGGACGACGAGCAGACGCTGATCAACTCACACGGACGCTGATAGGGGAGACGCAGAGAGCCAGTGATAGCTAGCGGCCCGGACCGGTGGGTGACGTACGGGATATGGTCGGAAAGATGGACAGATGTCGGTTTGATGAGAAAGTGACAGTGGAAGGTGGTATAGTCGGGTTCTGAGGGAGCAAGCAGACCTTAGATGGCGTGAAGCAAAGCGCCGTTATAGCGCGTAAAGGAGCGACGACTGTATCGACGGGCTGCGTTTGGAAAGTGGTAAAGTAACCAAAGTACGTCTGGCGCGCGCTTGCGAGTGTGTCGATGCATGCACGGTTTATTAGGTCAAGGCTGGTTCCCGTCTTTTGTTATCGAGACGGGCAACCGTAGCCTCTGTGAACCAAGTACCTACTGAAGTCGACTGGAATATGACGTACGAGTAAGGCGATTTCGTTTCCTAACGTGGTCAGCTGCGACCAAAATAAACCAAAATGCTATCTAAAAAAAAAGAAACAGTATCACTTCACCTTTACTTCTAAGAAACGCTTTAAAGAAAATGTTGTTCAGCTCGAGTCCGCTTCATGCCGTGCTAAGGAAGGAAAATAAGAAGTGAAATGTGTATTGTTTATGGTGATTGGAGATCGAATACGCAGCCGAATACGTAGACGGTCGCACTTACGAAGCTCAGTCCAAAGGACAATTGAAATTAATTATAGATGAGCGCACGGCACGTCTAGCCGTCAGAGTCGTGACTGTGCATGGGCGTTCATTTGTCGTATCCCGAACATGTAGACAAAAGACCATCCAAAAGACCAGACCATCTAAAAGCACGTTTATTGTACTATTCATAAATTGTACTACCATTTCACTACTGAGTTTAGATCTGACTCTAAATCAAAACAGTCCAAAGCGATGTGGTGAGTCTTGCCACACACCACAAAAAAAAACAACTGGCAACACAATGACAGCTTCAAAACAACAAGGCACAGGGCGAAATAGAGTGGAAGCGCTCGTTACAAACAGTCCTTTGTAAAAGTCACAGATTTGCACAGCTCAAACGACGGAGAAAGCTCACAACACAAGCACAAATATTTAGATTCTGAATTGGCGCAGTAAAGCGACCTTGCCACAGCAGCAAGCACAAGGAGTATCAAACAACCGCGTTCACAACCACACAGGGGTCGAGGTGTCCGTCTATACAAGATCTCGCCACAATCGCACGCCCCACTCGCACGTGCGACCGAGCGAATCTACACAACAGGCAAAAAAACAATAATAAACTGCCAGTTATTTAGTGAAGGTGTAGTCGAGATCTGACACAACCATTCAACGACGAAGACGAAATGGGATGATCAGGGGAAATATCGCATCCACGAGCTGGAAGATCAATAGTGTAATGCTGATGATACTGCATGGCTAGACATAATCAGATAAATACTGATACATGGAAAAGGGTAATGATGGCACATATGACAAGAATCGACAATCTTTAAAAATCACTTTCAGAGGTCTTAGCAAAATAGGACAAACAGGGCTATGCGAATTCATCTTAAAAACGTGTAGTTGAGCTATTCGAGTATTCTGACCTCTGTAATAAAGAAAAGCTTCACATCACAACTGAACTGAAAAGAGCAGCCGTGATGCAATTACTCAAATAGCTATATAAGAAGCCGAAATCGCTTTTGCGTAATTCTAGACATAAGATCTTAAAATCTCCTTATAACAAGACAGCCATCTATCAGAAAACACCTTTGCTGATGCCGGTTTCATGCCGTGACGAAGGCCTTATGTCAGCCAAAACGAAGAACGTCGAGTCCATTCATGACCGAGAATACAAGATTACGGTCTACACCAGAGTTGTAAAAGTGAGGAGTAAAGAGATCAATCTTTGCATATTGTCAACTGTCGGTGACATTTCGCGTGGGTCGAACAAACTGTAAGAAATGGAAAGGGGGTCGATAAAAATGGCATCTGTTCCCGGCGCAAAACTGCCCCAAAACTAGCCAGGCACATTCTTCCCCTCTCATATAATGCCCTGACGATCACAACGAGAAGGCTTTGGAAAGCAGCATTGGAAGGCGACACGCATTACGCACGCCGGTATCACAAAGACAAGGCACATTTACAGACTGCGGAGCTCTCACAAAACGAAGCTCAACGAGCAGAAGCAAGGCACTAGGTAACAAAGCACGACATGTATGTCGTGTAATACCCTTAGGACAAATATTTATGAGACTTTAAGCAGCTCCAAGGGCTATTTTCGTTATCAATAGAAAGCCACTGAGATGCGGAGGACATCGCGAATTCGGGCCACGCGAGAATATCGCGATTCCAGCCCGACTCACTGCTCGCCCACCGGTTCCTCTCCCCTCTCAGCGGCCGGCGGCGCGCGCTTCCTCCCCGATCAGCGGCCGGCGGCGCGCGCTTCCTCCCCTCTCAGCGGCCGGCGGCGCGCGCCTCCTCCCCCCTCAGCGGCCGGAGGCGCGCGCCGCCGCCGCGCGCGCGCTTTCCAGCCGGCGCTCGAGGGCGTCGAGCAGCTCGGGCGCGTGGCGCACCAGCAGCGTCACCTGGTCGCCGGCCTCTCGCAGCAGACGCACCACCTCGCCGTGCGTCTCGCCCTCCACCGGGCGGCCGTCCACCGTGATGAGCTGGTCGCCACGCCGCAGGCCGCCCTGGCGCTCGGCCGCGCCGCTCGCCAGCACGCGACTCACCAGGACGGGCGCGTCCGGGCCCTCGCCGCCGGCGATGTTGAAGCCGAAGCCGTGCTCGGTGCGGGAGAGTCTGATCAGCCGCGGGTGCGCCTGGCCCTCGGAGGCCGCAAACGCCGCTACCGTAGCCTGGGTGGGCGGGGACGAGTAGTTAGTGCCGTGACCACAAATGACACCACTCCCAGGTCCCAAATCCAAGAGCTGAGTGCCGGTATTCATATGGTGAGATGAGCTCAAAACAAGGAATCCCCACATGTCCCCCAAACAAGCGATATTCAAGAGCTGAACCAAACCACCAACACTTTGCAACCCATTTGTCATACCTTCGCGGTGGCGGAGGCCCGCGTCTCGGGCGAGCCGGGCATCACCACCGTCTCGTAGACGTGCTCGTAAACGCCTCGAACAGCACCCAGAAACTCGGACCGCAGCACCTCCTGCAGGGCGACCAGCTTGGCCGAGGGCACCTCACCAGCTGGGAAAAGTGGCAACAGTACGATAGTGGCTCAATAGAGCCAAAGGGGCTGTTCCAGACTTCACCACTACTGAAACTGACCACCTGGCAGCTTTGTAGATTCCTGAGTGTCTCATGCAAAGGAAGAGTTTCAAATAGAAAACACATGAAAATTATTGGATAGCCATGGTAATAATGGACTTGAGCTAACTAAATTTAAATTTTTCTTAATAGTAGCATAGACTTCACTCTTCATCCCACTCAACTAGCTTCAACTCACAGCTCCTTGTTGCACAAACTGTAGACTACCCCCTTCATTCAGCCATTCCATGATTCAGCAGTCTCAGATTATTAATTGCTGGAAGTGGAGCGACTTTAAACTGGTTTCTTATAGCAGGGAGACTGTGGGATGGACAGTTATACTTACACTTTTGAAGTTTCTCCAAAAGTTCCAAAGCTCTTGAAACATCTGCGAGCAAAATAAGAAAATTACATTCATGAGTCCAATACACTGAACAGCAGGCATCTACCCATAAATATCACAAGAAAACTAATCTCTGCACAGACACTGACTCCGGATTCAGAGTCTCTCGAACAAAGAAGATTCCATGTCGTCCTGCAAATGGTGCTCGAGGTCAGAGGGGACTTGACACAGGATTGGCCAGATGACATAGAAGGTTAGGTAGTTGTAAAGCAGGTGTCACACTTGTTTTTTGCAGCCAAGGAGAGGCATTATTACCAGAGATGCTTTATCAAACTTTAAACCAAACCAAACCTAACCAAACCTGACCTAACCTTACCTATAACTTCAACCTAAAACCTACCACCTAAAACTTACAACCTAGCCCACAGCACCCCTCCTTACCTATAACTTCAACCTAAAACTTACAACCTAGCCCACAGCACCCCTCCTTGGTTGCAAAAAAAAACAAGCCGTGACACCAGCTTTACTACCTAGGTACCTACTGGCTACTAGGTACTGAATGTTATTAGTCCAAAAACTGTGAGCACGCCCTGAGAAAAAAGAAGGTTGAATGAAGCTTCAATATAGCCTTATCAGTCAAGACATTCTGGAAATAGTGTAACTCAAACTGTAAGGCGAGCATAATAACATCAGTATTTAAGAAAATTGGCATAATTCAAATTGAAGGATTGATCGAACAGTACCTGCTTGAAGAGAAAGCGGCTCTGATGCTGCTGCCATTGCTATGCCTATTCAAAGCTTCAAATTTCAAGGATCTTCAAACACTCTCCGAAAATCACAAGAAACAAAAAAACAAAAGAAACACATATATGACTTTGACTTGAGAGCTTGATGAGCCCGAGCACAAGGTTGACAAAGGCCGGATCCTGTTCACTTTGGAACAAAGAGCAGCTCACGAATAGCGTTTGCAGATAAGACAGCATTCAATTGGATAACTGCTGTCAGCAGTCGTTCGGTTAGTTCTTTTTGAATGTAATTTGGAATCGTAGAGTGTAATATAGGCGCCGTTTATGTCTCACAAGTCTTCTTCTTCCATTCCCAGCATGCAGCATTCGCTGCCAGAGCCAAGACGGAAAGGCATAGGCCGGCAAATTTCTGAACCTGAAGTTGCTAGACAGATATTTGGTGAATCCGCTGCCAGAGCAGCGTGCTCGGCCCGGCTCGTCCTTATAGCCCGGCCAAATGTCTGCGTCACTGCCAGCAGCAGAAACGGACATATCCGTCACGTTCCAAACCTCGCAACACGAAGCGAACATTACCTAACTAGCTAGATTCCGGACTGATCGAACGGTGTCCGTGTCCTCGCTCAGTACCCCTGAGCCCGCGGCTCGCAAACGCTCGCAATCCCACATCGTAATTGCTTTATTTTTAGGTCCATATTATTTCACACTGATGACAGAGTATGACAAGTTTAACTTCACCAGCCAGCCATGAAACAAAGACAAAAATGTTGCTCGTTGTCATTTTTAACGGCATCGTCCATTTACAGGCCAAGTGTTCCAGGCAACAAGTTAACAATCCTGTTACAAATCTTTTATCTTTTCGGGGCGCTGGTCTGAATCAGTTCGTTTTTCCTCGCTTGCTACCGGGCGGCGGGTCGAGCTTCAGGCCGGCTCCCGCAGTTCCGAACGGGTTGGCCGCCGCCGCCGCGCCGAACGTCGTGGAGCCGCTGCCAAACAGACCTCCGGCAGCGGGCGCGGCGGCCGGCGTGGCCCCGTACAGCGGCGCGCCGACGGCGGGCGCGGCCACCGGCGGCGGCGGCTGGCCCAGCGCCTGTGCCACGGCCGCCGCCGCCGCGTTCCTGTCCACCGCGAACGGGGACGGCCCGGGCCGCGGCGGCGGCGGCGAGGCGGGCCGCGCCGGCGCAGCAGAGGAGCGCGCCGCGAACACGTCACTCGTGTCGCCGACTACGGTGCGCCGGTAGGCCAGGTAGTGGTCCTTGAGCGCCTGCACCTTCTCGTGCACGGTCTGCAGGTGGCCGGCCAGCCAGACGAACGTCTCGTGCAGCTGCCGGATGGAGCGCATCAGCTCCTCGGGCGAGACGAACCCGGTGCCGTCGGCGGCGGCCAGCAGCGACTCGAGCTGGTCGATCTGGCGCCGGTAGGTGACCATGTCCGCCTCGTACTGCTGCACCAGCCGCTCGAACAGCTCCTGCGGCGCCGTGTTCTCGTGCTGCAGGCCGGCAGAGATCTCCGAGGTGCGCTGTGCCACCTCGGCCCGCTTCAGCAGCGCACAGACGTCCTGTTTGAGCTGGGCGGCGGCGGCCGCGTGCCGCTGCACGGACGCCTCCACGGCGGCCAGCAGCCGGCGCAGCGCGGCCGTCTCCTCGCCCACGTTCTGCACCGAGCCCCACGAGTGGCGCGCGATCTGTTCGCCCTCGGCCTTCTGCTCCTTGACGTGTTTCTCGAACTCGCGCACCGTCTGCACGATCTCGGGCGGCACGTCCGTCTCCTTGGGCGCCTTGCCGTCGGCCTTGCCCTCCGCGCCGCTGCCCGAACCGTCCAGCGCCGTTACCGTGCCGCCCAGTCCCACCTGCAGCTTGCCGCCGAGGCCGACGGCCGCGCTGGACGCCGGCGCCGCGCCGCCCAGGTTCAGCGTCAGCGCCGGCGCCGACGAGGTCACCGCCGTACCCAGGCCAAACCCAGTGGACGGCTGGGGGGCGGCCGCGCTGCCGAAACTGAACCCCGTGGAGGCGGCAGGAGTCGCGGCCGGGGCACCGAGGCTGAACCCGGTCGCCGGCTGGGCGGCGGAGGTGGCAGCTGGTGTCGCTCCGAAGCTGAATCCAGTCGAGGCCTGTGTGCTGGCAGCTGGAGTCGCACCAAAGCCGAATCCTGTCGATGCCTGCGTGCTGGCCGCAGGGGCCGCACCAAAACTGAAACCAGTGCCAGCTGAAGATGCTGTAGGAAGAGTAAGGGTGGTCCCCGCTGGTTTGGCAGCTGATGCACCAAAGGAGAATCCTGTGCTGGCTGCTGGAGTTGCTCCAAAGCTGAAGCCTGTTGATGCACTGGAAGCGGGAGTGCCTCCAAAGGAGAAGCCTGTTGCCATGATGAGGTGAAATCAGCAACTAATTAATCTGAAAAAAGATGACAGAGTATACATCATGCATCAATAATTTCAACTTTGGTACCAATTAATATCTTCTAAATCCATTTAAGAGCCAATCAAAGAAACAAAACCAGAGCTATGACTATTATGTATCTACCTAGTCATTGTTGGTCATCATGCTGCTCACTTAGGTACTTTATTGGCATTCTGTAGCCTTCCCTTATTGTTAAATAGCTCATAGCCTGTGCTGTTCACCAACAACTGGCACAGAAGCACTTGCAAGTATCTACAAAGTGACAATGAAAATTTGAATGGCTAGCATGGCACATACAGTTTTCAGGGCAGAATACATTTAGAAAGCATACTAATCAGTAATCACTAATCAGACATGTGATGTGCATGAATCTGAGTGATAAATCTATTATCTCAGTCACTCAGTGGATCTTGAAGCAAACTGCAAGTTTGGATACATTATCCCATCTGATTCAGTGTGAAAAATATATTCAAGATCTATGAGCTAACAGGATCTGACAGTAAACCAAGACCATAGGGCTGTTCACGACGTCGGTTTATGTGGTTTACATAAACTGCCCTCGGGGCACGTCCGCGGCTGTGACGTCACACGGCGTTTACGTTTACGAAGCACAAATGTTTACTTACAGTGACAACTAATAAGCAATTGAGACGATACTGTAAAAGGTGCAAAGAAAAGATAATCTGATGGAAATATGTCCCATATCATGACATATTGCAAGAATAAGGACAGTTTTCACCACAAAATACCCACGACGCTAGACGCTGGTTAGCAGAGAACGATGCTCAAAATAGGTCTTAATTACAATGAAATAATAAAACCTACCATTCTAGGTCCTCTGCAACCCGTGCAGGGTTATTTTGAAACTCATTTATTCACCTACCAGCCCCTGAACTGTCCGAATTCAAATTTCCTAACTCACAACTCGCCTCACGAGTTTGCCGCACATCGCCATCATTGTCACATTAACGCGTTTACGCGCCATGTTGATGCTCTGAGGCATCAACCGCATAAACGGTTTACGGCGGAGGTCTGACGTCATTGACGAGATGTGACGTCAGGATCAGGTCGACGCTGATTGGTCCTTCAAAAAATAAACATGTTTACGGTTTATTAAACGGGATAAACCGACGTCGTGAACAGCCCTCATGGATTTATAAGCCTGGTTGATCCCACCAGCACAACATCTGAAACCATGTCTCCAAGAGTTTCTGTGTCAATAAGTCCCTGCTGGCAGCCCACAAAACTATATATATTATGAGTTATGACATGCAATCACATAAAATTACTAAAAAAGAACTTGTGTGGGTTGCACCAAGTGAATCTTCATCTAGGTAAGGATCTAAATTCTAAGGTCTCACTGGATCTCAACTCAAAAGTACAAATTTAGAATCTAATTGATATTTACTTGTAAGTTTTCAAGTTGCTGTTGCTAGCTTGCTTTCTGTCCTTAAGTACCTACCTATCAGCATCAGACATGTATACGGATCTAAGAAAATGGATCTTGGATCTCCAAGAACAGATAAGATCCAAGATCCATTTTTTTGATCCATGTACATGTATGATGCTGATAGGTGCTGACTTAAGGAGTGAAGACAAGCTAGCAACACAAACAGCAACTTGAAAACTTGAAAGCAAATGTCAATTTCCAGGCCGCCATGATCATGGCATGACGCACAGTGGGCTGGGCTACACTACCGCATTGGTGCAGCATTTGAGATTAATTCACAACACGCCAGCATTGTGTCTGAGTTTGTTAATGTTTCCATGGAAACCCAAAACACCGATATGCTGGCGTAGCCACGTAGTGCACTGTAGCCTCAGGCTCAGGCTGGCGCCAAGAAACAGGCCCCCGAAATATCCAAAAGAATGGTGAACAGTAAATTCTATCAGTATGAACCCACAAAAACATGTAAATGACCTGAAGGCTGTAGCCTGTTCTGTAGTGTAAGTTGAAGTGAAGTACTTTACATGATGACACTATATTTTCGTATGCCTTCTTTACTGAAAAATATTTACCTATGAAGCCTATGAAGCGTATTTATATATATATATATATATATATATATATATATATATATATATTTACTTACCTATGAAGCATCGATTGAACCCAACGTGTGTATACGAAATGCGCTGCTTCATATGGCAGTGCTTTTGAATCATTTGGAAGCTATTGGGAAAAATCCTCTCCTTGAATATAATTTCCCTTGATATTTTCTTTGAATTCCAATAACTTTTGTTTGCTCACTGCGATTAAATTAGCGTTTTATTGTGCTTCTGAGCAATCAGCGTCGGCCAACAACTTACTATTTGTACTATTTGCACTTCTTTCTGTTGAAATATCAAAATAAATGAGAAAGAAAATTTTCCAGGACAGTAGAGTTTTTCCTTCAAGACTGGATTCAATTGTCTATGATGCGTCAGGAACGCTGACATTTACTGATGGTTAGAAGAAAAGCATTAAATATTTTTTGGAAAGACGGTTTTGAAGATAGAATACCAGGCTGCACACAAAATTATGTGAGCTGAGTGAATCTTCAGCTGATGATAAGATTGAACTGTCTGGTTGGGAGCTTGATGGTTGGCACCCGGGTTCAAATTGCGTGTCTTTTACTTTTGTCATTTTCATTGCAAATATGCGATTTGCTGCAATTATCTGCCAAGACAATGATGGTGGTCTTTGTATTTCATCTCATGGACTAGCTCAGTCAGGCCATCAGGTATAGGTGGCAATATAGCAATGCAGAATGGAATCAGAATGTGAGGTGTTCGGATACCTACTTTCTCATATTCCGCTGCCGCAGTGTGCCAGCTCAGGGCTGGCTTTTGGTTCACATAAGGCTGTGGGTTTAAGTTTATGGTAATTGTGATTGGATGGTGGATATTTAGTGACTGAACACCTACAGTTCTTAACAAATCTTGAATCTATATTTTATGCAGCACGCTGAGCTCGCTATAATATTTTTACTTCTTCTTGACTCTTCCCTGTTCTCTGTTCACCTTGTGCTGCTACTTACCTATTTATGACATATGCTTTTATTTTATTGCAGACCATTACTCAAGAAATGCAACCAAAATATCACCAAGAAGCTAACAGAAGCAATAGCTGATCACTAGCTGGCCCATTTGAGCTCTAACTATGGCTGGTAAGTTGTTTTACTTCATGAATCTATCATTTCAGAAGAATCTTTATGTATTTTCATTCAAAATCAGACCATTAATTTTGTAGTTAGTGTACAAGCTTGCGTGCAATACAGTGTCCTTAAGTGAATGTGAATCTCACTGTCTTTTATTTCCTTTCAGGAGCTAAGATCACCAGAGTGAAGCGCTATGGTTACAGAGCCATCCTGGCGAGGCCCTGGCTGGCTCTCTATGGGGCGCTGCTGATGGTCGTCATTGTCAGCATCCTCTACTACCTCTCCTTGGAAGGTATGTGAGGAAAACTGTGCCAGCTGTACTACTAACTTCTGACTTGTGTTTGGCCTGATATGTCAAGACCCTGATTATACTGTTAAATGTTCTTTTCAGCAAATGCATGGTGGAAAGTATTTATTAATCTAACAGAGATGTTTTCATTCATTGCATTAGATTGAGTCTAGCAGACAGCAGTGCTCCTTTGCTTACATCAAGCCACTCATTATTTTGTCCAGAGAGGTTAAACACCCTCACAGTGTGAGTGTTCCAACATTTTCCAACCCTTTCCCCTGACTCCTAATGTTTTCCCTCAGATGACCCGGACAACGTGCTGGGGTTCAACGCGCGCGAGCTGAGGCTGGCGGACCGGATCCGAGACATGCAGGAGCAGAACACGATGCTGCGGCACCAGCTGGCGGCGGCGCACAGCCAGCTGGTGGCCGTCCTCGACGAGCACGGACGGAAACACAACGGGACCGACGACGACCTGTTCGGACTCAGAGACGTACGTAACGGCGCGGGGAATAGAGGGGAGGGCTGGCGGGTTTGGCCCCAGGGACGTATGAAATGGCGAGAAAGGGAGGAAGGCGGGGAGGGGTAATGGATTCGGCTTCTGGGACGTATGGACCGGCGAGGGAGGGGAGGAAGGGGGAGGCCCGACGACCATTTCGACCTCAGACGTACGGTAATGAGGGGGGGGGGGCTGGAGAGGAGAGTAGGGGAGGGTATGCGGTTGCGAGTGGAAGACCTGCCCAGCCTCAGAGACGTACAGCCCACCACTAAAGTAATGTGCGGTTTTACCATCTCAACGGATGGCTTTGACTGGCGATCTTTTAATTCGGAGTGATCGAAAAGAAGACGTCAATAGATAAAGTTGCAGCTGCAAGGGTGACGATATATGTAAGGAACATTCAAAGTTTCATTGTAGTCTGGCTAATCGTTCCTAAGCTTCAGAAGCACAACATATCCATCACTGAATCCGCACATTACTTCTGCTGTGGACTGTACATAAATGTGTGAGAGGTGGCCGGGAGGGGAGCTGGTAGTGTATATGACCTGTCCGTCTCGAGCTCACAGACGATGGTACAATCAATGTCTCCCTCCCACACAACTCCTCTCGTCATCCCTAGGAGCCGCTGACCAAGTGTTCGGAGATCTCTGTGGTGATTGTGTGCGCCGGTTACAACTCGACACGCTCGGTGGTGACGCTCATCAAGTCGCTGCTCTTCTACCGGCGCCACCCGCTGCACTTCCACTTCCTGGTGGACGACATCTCTGAGAAGATACTCAACCACCTGTTCCTCACGTGGGGCGTGCCGCAGGTGAGTACGGCGTGGAGGCAGAGAACGGGAGAAGGAAAGGAAGACAAGGAGTAGCCTGCTCGATAAGGTGTATCCTGGCCTCGTGGTGTAATCACTTAGGCTTTTTTATGTAAGTGCAGCATGGTTTTCAATAACCTCTGGACAGCAATATGAGTAGGCATGCTAGAAATGGCATGCTAGATAAGAGTGATTCGTGCTTGCAAATGTGTCCATGTGATTGCTTCTTGTTTTATCACCTAACTTTCTCACCAGTTGACACGAGTCACACTATCATATCCTACCCCCGGTCTCCTCAGGTGGAGGTGAGCATGTACAAGATCGACGCCCAGGTGCGCTCTGAGGTGGAGTGGGTGCCCAATAAACACTACTCGGGAGTGTACGGACTGCTGAAACTGCTGCTCACCAAAATACTGCCCGACTCGCTGAAAAAGGCCATCGTGCTCGATACGGACATAACGTTCGCGACCGACATCGCAGAGCTGTGGAGGATATTCGGACACTTCAGAGGCGAGGTGGGCGATAGAATTGGGCTGCGGATGGGGAGGACGTGGGAGTGGGAGACGCCATGACGTGGGAAGATGAACCAATTTTCTGTTGATAGACGATAATTGGGCGCTAAATTGATTGCTAATCGATCGTGAATGTCTGACAATTATTAGATACAGGAGTTGATACGCTATTCTTGGAACAGCTGCTTATATGACGCAAGTTTTGTCTTTATGTGAAGGATAAGGGCAAAGTTTACTCGTTCAGCTGGTGTCCATTTTTATGTTCTAAATCGCCCCCAACTCACCGCCAGCGTTCCATGTTTCAGAACTTTAGGTGAATAATCACACATGATGGGGAAAATATTTTCATCCTAAAAAATATGACAAGTGGCTTTGTTTCATCTTTGTTAAAGAAATATGTCAAACGTTTGATTCAACAGCCAGCTGCCAGGTTACACATGACTTGACAGTTGATGCATCTACTCTACATCATTTCATTTCAGATCCTGTGAAGGTTCTGATATAATCCGAGGTAAAAATGGTATTACGCAGTTTTGCGGAAAGACTAAATGTATCTCATTTTGTCTTCATATTTTTCTTCGTTGGCACACCCAATTGAAATCCAATTTTAGAACACTGCTCACCGCCCCCGCAGCAGCTGTTTGCACTGGTGGAGAACCAGAGCGACTGGTACAAGGGCAGTCTGTGGACCGACCACCGGCCGTGGCCGGCCGTCGGGCGCGGCTACAACACGGGCGTGATCCTGATGAACCTGGAGCGGATGCGGCAGCACAACTTCCAGCAAAAGTGGCGGCTGGTGGCCGAGAAGTACCTGGTGTCCTACTACGCCACCCAGCTGGCCGACCAGGTGGGAAGGGAAAGTGTCCGAGCTAAATGAGGGAGGATAATTGTTGACCATGTTTGGTCATGAGTTGCCTTAACTATTTAGCGTGGAACGGGAGATTGGTTTGCCTCTCGATCTGATCATGTATGTATCCTTGATTTTGTATTGGTTGGTAAAACCCATCCGTTAGTCGTTACGTTGCTATACCGCGACACATGCCATTTCACATGCGCATTTATCGGAGTTTTATAATTTTTCAGAAAAATGGTCGTGGCTAATAAGTACTGACGCGCACCCTCGGTATGTTTTCAGGATGTGATAAACGCTGTGATAAAGATGCACCCGTACATGGTGTACAAGCTGCCGTGTCAGTGGAACGTGCAGCTGTCCGACCACACCCTCTCCGAGGACTGCTACTCAGAGGTCACCGACCTCAAGGTCAGTTCATAGCGCAAACATATGTCACTTGTGTTGGTTGGTGTACAAGTTAAATTGTCAAGTTAAATACGAAGGTTAATCTGAATGGAAAGAGCCGTAACTAGTGCACAGTGCGATTCGACCTGTGGATTTAATCAATTCCGCAATCTCTTCTCTCCATTCCTCGCTCTCCATCGCTATCCCCCTCCCTTTCTGCCCTTCTGACTCCCACATGTTCTCTCGTCTGTAGATAATTCACTGGAACTCCCCCAAGAAGCTGAAGGTGCAGAACAAGAACGCTGAGTTTTTCCGTAACCAGCACCTGACGTTCGTCGAGTACGACGGTAACCTGCTGCGCCGGCAGCTCTTCTCCTGCCCGGTCTCCTCCGAGTCGAGGTGGCGCGGCGGCCTGGCGCAGCTGGCCCAGCTCAGCGAGGACGACCCGTGCTACGACTTCCAGCGCGCGCGGCTGGTCCAGTACCGCACGCACCTCTACTTCCTGGACTTCTCTGCGGACGCGGCGCGCGGCGCGACGGTGACGCTGGTGGCGCAGCTCTCGATGGACCGGCTGCAGATGGTGGAGGCGCTCTGTCGCCACTGGGAGGGGCCCGTCAGTCTGGTGGTCTACATGTCTGACGCTGAGGCGCAGGTATTCCTTCAGTACGTCCAGCAGTCGCCCGTGCTCCGGCAGAGGGATAATGTGGCCTACCATGTCGTCTACAAGGATGGGGTGAGTGCCCGGCGTCGACGGTCAGGTCTTAGATCGGGGAAACACCTAATTGATAAATCAAATAATCAACTAATTCGTTAGCAAATAACTATTGCACATTAGCATAATACCACGACGTCTCCTGTAATTGATGAGGTGACTTCTTCCATCGTGACGTCGCCTATTGTCAGCTGAACATTAGTATATGATGGGATGACCTATCCCGCCCCGAATACGTTCCAGATGTACTACCCGGTGAACTACCTTCGTAACGTGGCTCTGCGGGAAGTGCTGACGCCTTACGTCTTCCTGGCTGACATTGACTTCCTGCCGATGAAGGGGCTGTATAACGCTCTGCTGCGAACCACGGCAGAGCTGCTGGAGGACGGTGGGCGGCCCAAGGTGCGTACGAGTGAATCGGTGGGGCATAGCTGGTTGGCGGGACAGGTTGCGTCCGATCAGGTGGCCGGAGGGGAGGGCGGGCGCGTTTTTTTTTTTTTTTTTGAATCGGCGCCTAAAATGGAGGATAATACCTGAGAATAACATGGCGCAATGCGGTATGCGAGTCAACAAACTGGTTATTTGAAATCATATTTTTAGCAGGCTTGGTGGTAAGATACTTTCGCCAATTGCCGCATAGCTATTACATTTCCCGCCCTCTGTTCAGCCGTGCATTCTGACCTACCAATGACTGTTTTGTCTCCCCTGTAACTCCCGTTGTCCGGCCGCGCAGGCGCTGGTGGTGCCGGCGTTCGAGACGCAGCGCTACCGGCTCACCTTCCCCGAGAGCAAGGCCGAGCTGCTGAACATGCTGGACATGGGAGACCTGTTCACCTTCCGCTACCACGTGTGGGCCAAGGGCCACGCGCCGACCGACTTCGGGAAGTGGCGGACCGCCACCACGCCCTACACGGTGAGGGGCGGCGGCGGCGGGGTGGGAGGGAGCGGGTAGAGGGACAGGGGACTGACCAGGCAGGAGCGGGTCAGTTGCAGCCGAACTTCTGTTGCCGGCCGTCATGTTTCGTCTCATTCGGCTAAATGCGTTGTGTGATCAGTACTAAGTCGTTAGGCGTTTCATTATTCGTCGCGTGTAGTGTGAACAATAAGCATAAAGTTCTCATAAGTTGTCTTTGGCTCTCATCTGTTGGTCTTATTCGTTGGTGTTGATATTGGTCAGGCTTTTTGCCCAGCAGCGATGGTATGAACCACGCCCATTTGCGTGTTGTCAGTCGGACCTCTATAAATAGCTATCAGCCGCGGTGGTGTCGACGCTACTTTTATAATTACGTCTTCCCCCGTATTGTAATCGTGGCGCCATTCAGCTTCGCCACAGGTGTTTGCGGTGGTGTTAAACCTTATCAGCTGGTCTGATCCGCCCCCTCCCTTGCAGGTGAAGTGGGAGTCCGACTTTGAGCCTTACGTCGTCGTCCGTAAGGACCAGATTCCCATGTACGATCTGCGCTTCGTCGGCTTTGGGTGGAACAAGGTGAGATTCCCAGCTTTGCGTGCGGAGTGGATGAAACTCGAACGATGTCGGCGAGTTGCTGACAATCAGGCTCTCGTGTATTTTTATGTTCCTTTGTATTTATGCGCTCGCCATCTTTTCTTCAGTTGATTTCCATTTTCCCACGGATCTAAGACGTGCCCCCTCAGTCACTTTGACATCAGCTAGCTCTTGTAAATACGACATTGATGGCACTTGTTCCTGCCTTGTCGTTCCGTTTGTAGTACGCTGGTTCCGTTACGTGGCATTCCATGACATAACGCGCCGTTATGCGGCCTCTGTCAGGTGTCCCATATTATGGAGCTGCACGCGCTGGGCTTCCAGTTCATAGTGCTTCCGAACGCGTTCATCATTCACCTCCCGCACGCTCCAAGTCTGGACATCGCCAAGTTCCGCACCTCTGCTCAGTACAGACAGTGAGTTATCGGCGGAAAGTTCCGCACCTCCGCCCAGTACAGACAGTGAGTTAACGACTGAAAGTTCCGCACCTCTGCCCAGTACAGACAGTGAGTTGGCGGCGGGACGAGACAGACAGTAACGAGGCACAGACGTTACAGTACAGTGAGTTACCCGAGGACTGGGAAACCTCCCAGTACAGACAGTGGGCGTGAGTTGGCGGTGGGACGAGACATCTGTTCAGTACGGACAGTGAGTTTCCGGAGGACCGGGGTGAAGGGGACAGACTGGATCGAGATCTGACTGGCTGACAGGGCGATGGAATATGACGGGACCTCTTGATACGAACGGAACGGTTCAGTCTGTTTTGAGGTCGGCAATCGCAGGTAAAATGTTTTCTCCGTTTCAGGTGCCTGAAAATGCTGAAGGAGTCTTTCGTCCAGGAGCTGGAGAAGAAATACGGCGGCAACTTTTCCAGCTACGTCGTCTGACCGCTGGTCCATGACAGTCAACGAAATATCACTGCTCCCGAGTGTCTTGCACTGTGGAATAGCGTTTCCTCGTCGTTTATAGTGTGTATTTTGATAGCAATTCCGGTGCGTTTGTATCCAACAAGCGTATGTGCTTTTATACGAGATTTATTTGTTGGTAGGCAATTATGACATTATCTAGAAATGTGTGGTCGTGTGAGGATGAGTGTGAAAATACTGCAACTATCGAGTCTCCGGTTGGATCTCATGCGCCGTATCGGCGAGCCTTTCCCATTACTGCGTTATTGTTGGTGAACTGGGAAGGGTATATTCACACACGGAGACCGAATCCGACTGCGCTTGTCTGCTTGTGCAAAGAGATTTAGCCGAAAGTGAAGAGATTTAGCCTGTAGTAGGTGCGCTTGTCACTCACATCGGCGGGTCATATCCCAATTTGCGTGGTGTTCGGGCCAGAGTATATAGATCACCGTTCGGGCCCCACTCAAACCCCCGCCAAAGCTCTGACGACTGCGTCTGACGCGTGCCGATGTGATTTGGTGGTCCGCCGTCTCGAAGACGGGTGGGCTGAGAACAGTCCGCGATAGCGACGGGCGTTGTTACTAGTTGGGCGCCGCTTCGGAAGGCTCCAAGCCCATGGAATGCCAGTATGTCAAGCTGTGTAAAGTTATCACGTTGGTGTGTATTTATTTGCGATAAAGTGGTATGTTTCGGGATGGCAGCGGAAAATATAGCTACGTTTATGAACTAATGCCTTGCTGTGGTGATGTGGGTATTGATACTTCATTAACTGAAAACTAGTGTTCACATCTCATACCTACTCAATAAATACGCAGGGCCCTGCGTATTGCGTAAATACGCAGAGCCCTGCGTAAATACGCAGGGCTGTGCGATGGTGGCAAGGGGCCGTCACGTCGGGTCTCGTGCGACACGTTCCGGTCGGCGCCTGTACGGCGTCGTGTTGGCTTCCGTCGGTCCAGACGAGAACACCGTCCGTTCCACTGCTGACAGCTACTGCATGCACGCAACACAAAACTGGCGGGCTGTCGTTTTCTGCTTGAAACACAACCTACACTCGTTCTTCGGATTAACGTAGCATTTTCGACTGACAGAACGAGACCCGTCCACGTTTTCACGCAGGCATCCATGTATTATCCATCGCATCACCTAACGTGGTACAAATCCATCAAAACGCACTCGTACACGATTTGTGTAATAAAATAATTGAATAAACATGTATTTGGATATGTAGCAAACCATACACGTTTACCGGTCGTTATATAGCACATTTGGTCACCAAAGTACACAGTTCACTCGGCGCCAGGCTCGCGGAGGGGGAGGATTTGCCATCGCCTCCCCGGCGCCAGCAAAGGCACATGTGGCGCGCGCACGCCAAAAGTGACGCAGACGCACGCAAAAATACACTCCAATGCGGTGGAATGTGCGTGCGAGAGTGCTGGCTGGTGAACCACACTCTCAGAGCACGCGCGTGTTGAGCCAAACATAATACCATCATGTCTCTACCTCCGCGGAACAGTTTGGTTTCGCGGCTCTAACTGGTACATTCGCGCCTACCCTAATTGATAACAGCTTTTGAAGGTATCACAGCTGCATAGTGGTTAGTTTCGAATGTAGCTCACAGTTATGAGAACGATGTGGAAGAGGCCTATAAAATTGATATCATCGCACTAGTCCAAATTAGTGCAGTATTCCCCGAAACATCCCGATCATCCCCAAATTTTCAAGGTTACTTAGCATGCATGATAACCGTCGAAATGATCGCGAAGTCGAGATTCTGAAAATGTGAGGTAAACGCGCGCATAAACGAACGAATAAAACAACATGCTCGTAAAACAAATGCCTCCTGAAATCAGAACAAGTTTTCACCCAATCTTTCCCGTTCCCAGTCTTGATCGTAGCCAACCCACCAGACACGTGCTAGCGGAGGGCTGCACCGTCCACCCAGGGGCGCGCCGTTTGGACCGGGCTGGAATGATCGGACACTTTCCCCGGCAGTCTGACAGGCGATCTCTCCCATTTCCCGCACACACGCACACTGGAAGACTTGGCTGCGGCGACCACAGCGGCCAACGGTTGGCCGCCGACGGCTGAGGATGCGTCAAGTGTAGAGCCTCTCACTGTCGCCTCTCAATGTCCGGCCCAGGTGCTCGAGTGCCCTAGGTGCGCGACACTCTGGCCCTTCGAACGGCACTGACGGCTGTTTTCCACTACCCACGGCAGAGCATTATTAGGCTGGTCTCCGCCTCCGGTCCGCTGCGCCCACCGGCAATGTCATGGCTCGCTCGAGACTCAGAGGCACCAGTAGACGGCGGTCGGTGTCTCACCTCTGCCGAGTCGACCACCGCCGGCTCCCAGTCAGGCACTTGCTCGCCGCGACCCGGGCCGGCACCGGAGCCACACGCGGCCATGTCTCTCCGCCGGCGCCGCGCGGCACTCTCTGAGCAGTTCACCCCACTCGCTACCGCCCCTCCATCGCCTCGATAATCTGGTTAATGCTCGCCCACGTGCCGGTGACAAATCCCGTCAGACCGAACACCACCACGAACAGGTCCTTCCAGAGGATCCAGTAGAAGGGGCCGTAGCCGCCGCGCGCGCCCACCACCACCATGTGTATGATGGGCGGCAGGATGAGCGCCAGCATGCTGCTGCTGACGGCGCCGACCAGCGAGATGACCAGACTGAGGTCGGGCACCAGCGCGGCCACCAGCACTGTACGGGTCACGGGGCGGGGAGGGGCGTCAGGGAGGGGTAGAGACCAGAGAGACAGCCCCACATTAGGCGGCCGGCTGGACAAAATGACAGCGTCTACGCTGCATAACAATACACTGTACTGCAAAACTTGTTATGTGGCAGTGTCAGTGGCACGGAACGATGCACAGATAACATGAATCATGCTATCTATGGACGATGAAATCACAAAAGGGACTTAAAGGTAGAACAGTTGAACAAGTGAAACCAAAATACCGACGCACACGAGATCGTAGTCCGAACTAGCAATCGGTAACAATATGACCATTGCAACCCACTTCAGTTTGAGCTTTATCAGGACCAGTCACTGTCACTACTTCCGTGTTTTCGAGTTACGGGCGGTACTCACGTGTGAAGAGGACGAGCGCGGTGCGCAGGCCGAACTCTGCCAGAATCTTGTGTCGCTCCGAGTGGAACTTGGCGATGAACGGCGGGATCAGGATCTTGCACGGCACGTAGAACATGAGCATGTATGTGAGGAAGACGGCGCCGGCCATACTCAGGCGCACCACCTGGGCCAGCCTGAGAGCACGAGCAGGGGGAGAACGGTCAGCGGGGGAAGGGCGAGGGTCAGAGAGGGGGAACGGAGATTGCAGCATTGTGCTGATAGGAATGGTAGGAACGTCAATGGGAGAGAAGTGCTGAAATCGATTCACGATTGGGAAATGGGAGAACTTTTGTGATTTGCGCTTGCTTTGATAAATGCGTTGAGTGACCAAGAATACGACCCATATAATTTGATTGTTTTTTTTTTCAACCAAGTCAAATGTAAAATGTCTGCAAATAGTGAGCAGTTTTCAGATGAGGTCTCGCAGCAGTAATAACTGGGCGGTAATGCTCTGCTCCGCCCGTCACATGTCTCGGTCGGTCCGATTCCCAAATATAAACCAGCTGGGACCGGCTGGCGTGCGCCGGCGGCCGGCTGGGCGCTGGATCGAGCCGGCTGGTAACGGCCCACCCGCTCTGCCAGACGGCATATCGCAGACCGGCGGCGGGCGGTGGCCCGGTGACCGGCTGGGCGGAGCGGGCAGACCCCGGTCCAGTAATTCTGGGGCTATTTAATGTTAAGACGGAGAGAAAACCTGCCATCCACGATGGCGAAAAAAACAACTTTGACCGTAAATCGTGTGTTGTGACCATAAAGGCAATAGGATCGTACATATGAGCATACGAGCACATTATACAAGGCAGAATCAGACTACGTAGATGAAATTGGACTCGTACAGCTGGAATTCGTCATATATGCATTGATGACGAATAGGAGTGCGTAGTCTTGGAGGAGCTGGTGGATTTTAGGAAGAAAAAGAACATTTCAAAGTCACACAACAAACAGGCATCAAAACGACAACAGTTTTCAAGTGCAGCGCAAAACAGCACGGCAATAAATGCACATTGACATTCACAATAGGCAAAAAATGTCACATTCACCAAATGAAAAGCAAAAAGCGATAAGCGAACACTCAAGCTGCAAGCGAAGCAGAGCAAAAGCTAGCGTTTACATTGTGCGTTCAGTCATAAAAAAGAAGGAAGGAAAAAAAGGAAGACTATAAAACTTACCTGGTTAGGGAAGCTCTTACTGAGGGCAATACAAAGTCAAAAGAGGTACATATTTTTTAAATATGTGCGCAGGGAATAATGTAGTCATCAAAATGATAGAAAGACAATCTTTATAATTTAATCAGGATAAGAAAAGAAATTTAACGGAATTAGTAGGGTCATGTAGGAAGCTCGGCGGCGCACCCATCCCGTCCCCAGCGGCGGCGCATGCGTACATTATCCAGACTCCACCGACTGACCAGTCGCTGGTGGGCAGGTTCAGCGTGATGCTGCCCAGCACGGCGTCGCCGTACTTGAGGTAGCCGAAGAACGCCACCGCCGTGTACATACACATGACCAGCGTCATTCCCGTGTTGAGCACGCCGTTCCAGCCGCGGAACTCGGCCGGGTCGGCCATCTCGTTCTCCAGCGGTAGCACCTGACGGAGGGGGGGGGGGGGGTGACAGCTGCTACGGGAGGGGTACGTGCGAGGGGGCGGGCGGGAGGGGTACGTGATAGTGGTAAACAAGGTTGATGATTCATGTTTGATAGAGCGTTGTACCTATTACAGAGCCAAGTGTACTTTTGAGCACCCGCGATAAGTCGAGGTCTTATCGTCATACATTCATTCGATAGCACATGAAGGTGACTCGTTCACTAGCTATTCGATTAGGGTACGGGGCCCAGAGTGTGTACTGTGTATTCAATCAAAGCAATATGTGTAGTGAATCGGAAATGATAGCCGCACCAAGCGACAGGGTGCGACTACACCACAGAGCGATGGCATCTCCGACCGTGTTTGATCTGCACTGAATCCACGAGCTCAACGGCCACAATTGGACGACTGTCATTTGGACCGTGTCCTCAGCGAACCGAGCAAAAACACAATGACTGACTCAGGCTCGGAACTAGCCGCCCGCGGCCCGCCAGCGGGCGGAACAGGGCGGAGTTAGACCGGCCCGCCGCCCGCGCTCCGGGCTATAGGCTAGGGGAGCGGCAAGGGGCAGAAATGACTGCTCGATTAGGAACGATGACCTACGGCGGCTGGGAAATTTGTCAAACACTGACTGTACTAATTTAACTGTGTAACTCAAAGTATCCGGCCCGCAGAAGCAGCCTCGGTAATTATGATAAACCACAGCACACAGTTCAATCAATTGGGATCAACAGCAGGATTATCAGAGCGGAGCGCTAGCCGGTATCCACAGACGAGCTTATCAACGAGTTTATCGGAGAAATAAACGCTCCGATAAACTCACTCGTTCGCTAGTTAACCAATGCCAAAAAAAAAAATGCTGCCATAAACATCAAAACTCACCTTGTTCGACCTGCAGCACGTCAATTCCCAACCAATAATTCCGTCTGTTCGCGGTCACGCACCATCAAGACCCCAGTCCCGGCGCCAGTTACCATACATTTCCCTCCGCTCGCGGTTCCACTTACCACTCCGATGCCTTCAAACGCGTAGATGGTCGTTCCAAAGTAGAGCGGCAGCTGCGCGAGCGACGAGAAGGCCTTGCGCTCCGAGATGGGCGGCAGGTCGTGCAGCAGGTAGATGAAGGTGATGACCAGGCCGACGATGATGAGCACGTTGGCCATCATGGAGAAGGGCGTCAGGATCTTGAGGTCTCGGATCCAGCAGAGCAGCACCCACGGTACGATGATGGCGACCATGTAGACGTATAGGGAGACGTGCTCAGGCATATAGGAGTCGACCACCTGTGGGATAGGCATATTAGAATACCGATTGTTAGAGAAACACGAGGGGGAGTGAATACATATTAACGATCAGCCGTGTTTCATCAGGAGGAAGAAGAGGAAAGGATGGAAATATTTCGGTAAAATCACGCAAATTGCACAATTCAATGGCAATTTAAGACGCCAGTCGTTAGCCAAGATGAGACGTTGCATATAACAGTTGGTCTTTGTGTCGAACGAAATGTTTACGGACAATGCGGTTGGCAAACGCACCAAATGATAAAACACGCTCGGTAAGGCGGAATTCCGGACACCATCCAATTCCACACAGTCGATGTAGACATGACATGCACCCGAGCAGAGGACACCGCGTGGCAAGGACCCGAGTCCGCGGACCCCCGGTCCCGGTGGTAAAATTCCATTCGCTGGATGTAACTGACGAGACGCCCGCTGATAAGTTTATGTCATTCATGTAAACATGTCAGATACTGACAAAGTTGTGTAACGCGAATCATTGCGTAGGTACGAATATGAAGTTGCTGTTTACTGAAAGACGAGATGTTCACAACGAATGATTTTAGAAAGGAGGAACACTGGACAGAGTCCAAGCTGCATTTACAAATGATCCCGCTCCCCTCCCCGACCTCAAACACGTTATCCGACTCACCGGCGGGTAACACTCGTTCTCGGGTAACACCCCCAGACAGCTCTCTTCGCTCCCGTCCACCCCGTCTCACCTGTTTGACGTTCTGGCTGACGAACACGACGTAGACGCAGCAGAAGCCCAGCTGGGTGATGCAGAGGAACACGTTGACCAGTTTTCGGGCGGGCGCCGCCAGCCGCCGCAGCGGCGTGGGGCCGCACAGGAACGCCTCCTCGGCGACCGTGGCGTAGTCCATGGTTCGCAGGCCCACCTCCTCGCCCAGCATCTTGGAACAGTCCACCTGGGGGACGGGGAAGCGGACTCTAATGTGGGTTCATATAAGGACCTCGCCGAGCATCTTGGAGCAGTCCACCTGGGGACGGGGGAAGCGAGCTGAAAGGGCACGTTCATATCGGGGTCTGCCAAAACATTTTGGGACCGTCTACTTAAAGAAGAGGACTGATGAGCTGAAGAGCGATCCAGACTAAGAATAATACGAAAGAATCGAGAGTAGTCTCCGTGACTTCCAAAAGCTGAATCCCGTAGTGTTTTACTCAAGCGTCACTGACAGACAACGAAACCCTATCCTACAATGTTCGCACTGACTTGACGTTGGGTCCTTCCTTCCTTGTAACCAGGCTCCCAAAACACAGCCGATTTATTTATGAGAACTTGTCAAGAACATGTGCTATTCGATTCCATGACAAAGCAAAGAAAGATGACTGGCGTTGACTGCGAAAAGCTGCGATCGAAGCACATGCAGGGAGGGGAAGGGTATAGTCTTTATCCGTCCCGTACCAAACAAGGTCAGACAGGTGCCAGCCGGACACAATATAGCAGGGGTCGTCCGTCAGTGACACTGCATGCAATCAATCCACGCCATCGGGGGTCACCGAACGCGATACAACCAGGTGTGCGACCTAATCAGTGCGTCACTATTCGGACTGTCGTTTCGTTGATCGGAGCCGACAGCGGCCAAAGCACCTGTGTGGAGAACAGACCTTTGAGTCCACACACGGCCCCGGCATCTGCTCAGCACGTGTGGAAGGCGGGGCCAGGAGTCTGCTCAGCACGTCTAGAAGGCAGGGTCAGGTAGTGCGTCTGACCCCACCCACCACAAGGAAATACAATGTGCTGCTGCCTTTCGGAGACAATAAGATTACCCCATGCGCCCTTGAACTTCTTCTTCCGAGATACAGCAGTGAAGTACCTAAACCAGAAATGTATCCCAGTAACCAGACATCAAACTCAACAAAAACCACCCATTGTTTATCAGTTAAATCTACCCACACCAGAAGACCCCTGATCATCCTACACTGCTTCCTCATCGAGTAGACGGCAGACTGTTCTTCCTGGCCGGCCACGTGCCGCTGGCCATGTGGAACATTTCACGGCCGCCGGCCGGCGGACACCGTCGTCTCGGCGGCAGTCGCGTGCCGGTCCGCCTCTGTGTGGAAAATTCCCGGCCACCAGACGCCGCGGAGCAGCGGGGCAGTGTGTACCGCCGTGGTCAGACGCGTGCCGCGCGGTGGCGCCGGGTGTCCCTCCCACCCCGTCTGGCGCGCGGCGGCGCTACACAGGCGGTTTGAGCCAGTCAACCAGCCGGCCCCTATCAATGGACCAATGGTCGCGCGGGTGACGTCACCACGCCTGTGGTCAGCCGCGGCGGTCCGGGTGGGAACCGGACGGCACGCGACGGGGGCAGCGGGGACGTTAGTACTAGAAAGGAGTAACGGGCCCCGGGGAGCGCGCGACATTACGAGACTCCGAAAGAAATTCCCGTCTGCACCAAAATGTAAACCATAACGACTGCCGACGATCCGAAAAGATCCCGAAAAGTGCGGCCTGGGCCCTGGCAACCATATATGTCACCTCAGTACCGGTAGATAATGCCCTGTGCTGAGGTCGCTTATCAACACATGTCAACATAAATACGACAGTCATACATCGGCACATAAACAGCGACCGGGACCAGTTGGGGACCGGTTCAGTCCCCTCAGAACCGGCCGTCGGCTCCCATTAGCCCAGCCACATGCGGTGGTGGCAGTGACGTAAGGTGTTGATACGAGCCGTACTCGCCGCCAGCGATGCGTTCCCTGCGCCGGAGGAGCGGTCCGAGTCCCCGGCCGACCCCTGAACCCGTGCGACCGGCGCGGGGCGGTTACTAGGCAAATCCCGTCGGTGTGAAATTTCCACACAGGTCAGTGCACATCGGATTTCGCCGGTGTCAAATCAACACCATGGGTTACAACCGCTACGCCACCTTTCTAGTGCATTCGCTGATGTGCGAACGAACTAGGATATCGAACCCGCCGGTCTCGCTGCAGCGGAAACCCGCAGCTCTGCAAGGCTGAGTTCATCCAGCGGTCTTGCCACAACGGAAAACCGCTGCTCCACGCAATAGCCACGTGGTGTGATGTGAGATGTCTGAGGGGGAGGATTCTCCGAAGCGCAGTGCGATGGAAGCGACAGCCCGATAAGCACCGGCCTTTGTAACGGCCTGTGAGCTCCGCGAGACACCGCGCGGTGCCGTGGTATCCACCACTGTGTTTATCCCGGGTAGCTATTGTCGCAATGAGCGGCTGACAGTGGACACTAAACGTTGACGTTTCACGCTTTTCTGACGAATCGCAGTCGGAAAAAAACCGTCCCGGTTCGTTTACGGCCCGTCGGCGAGAGCTCGGTGTTGGCATGGAGGGGTGTTGAAATGCGCGCGCTGCAGCCAACCCGGTCAGACGGCGACATAATGCAGATAAGATAGTGGCCCGAGCGGCAGCACGGCTCGCGGGGAACGAGCGACCCGCCGTGTTCGACCGCATCCCTATTATCAATCACGTGAGGGCGGTAGTAAGTAAGACTCCGAAATGTCTTCTCATGCAGATAATCTGTGTGCGAGTGACCAGAGAACGAACAACGCCGGCTCACATCGAGGACAAGAGCCGATAAGCAGGAAACATTGGGGTGGGTCAGGTCGCTAAGATAAGACTCCTGAACTAAACGCACAATGATGCACTTCTTTGACATAAAAAAAAAACTTGAAAAGCTCCCCGACGGTGCCGTAGCTAGTAGCTACTAATCGCGCTATTGCAAGAAGCCTCAAATAACAGACCAGGCGACTTCATGAACAGTTTTCTTCATCTTACCAAACGCTACACTTTGATACCGAGTTCAGGACAAAGGGTCCCACCAAACCATCTGTAATTCAGGCCCGTCCGTTCTTATCGTGCGTGCGACCTCAGACAGGCGTATGCCGTATCTTACCCCGGGTTCAGCAAGAACCATGCTGTTTATCAGTACAGGTCCAGCCGAGCTCGACAGATGATTGCGGGAGGTGAGACGGCTGGCACTAATTGGAAACAGACGATTCGTCTAAACTCTAACATCTTCTAGCATATAAGCATCGTTTTTATTGAATGGAGCCTAACCACAGCTGTGAGAAACAGGCAAACCCCACTGGCAAGCGCTTCATGTGAACGAAACACCGCATCCGGCATACTTCTAAGCACATTGCCTTGCAGGTTCTCTGCACTGCAGACCATGCGATCAGCCAAGCAAATAATTCAATACAAAACAGACGCCAAATGGCCTTTGTCGCCGAGGCATCCTAAAACCCATACCATCATCATCGATTTGATACAGACCATCATCATTTCCCCATTTCGCTTCCGCACATTTTCAGAGTCCAACGGCGACCGAGGGGTGCACATAGCACATCCGGGTGTTCGGTGATCGGCATCCGTGGTCTTATCACCCCTCCCCTACCCGTCCCCCGCCGCGCCGGGTTATCGTCCGGGCACTAACGGCCACGATAGCTGAGGCGGGGTTGATACCGGCCATCCCCGCAGTACTTCCACCGCGGGATTAGCGTCCCGGTGATAGCAGTGATACACCCCTCTGCCACTATACCACTGACCCCTCCCTCCTAGAGACGCGCCCTTCCGAGACCCGCCCGGACAGGCGGCGGGCTGCCGGTCGGTCGCCGGCCCATTCCAGACCGCACCAGTCCCACACACAGCATACACAGTCTAGCGCTGCTCCGCCGGCGCCGGGCGGCCCGCTCTGCACCGTTCACCGTCCCCGGACCGGACCGGACCGCACCGCACCGGACCGGACGGAGCGGGCCGGACCGCACCGCGCGGGGATTCAGCAGTCCGTCTCCCATTCACACCCCGGACCCGAATATCCGGACAGCACCGGACCCGGCAACGGCGGGAGTCCTCCTGAACGGGTGATAACTGCCCCCGTCGTGTGCCCAGTCCCCCTGGTAACAGTGCCGGTGTCTGGCGCCGACCACTGGTCCTTACCGGACCTCTGAGCCGGCCGGCTGCCGAGCGGAGGACATGCCTGGCGGACCGACCGCTCAGTGATGCCCTGTTTATGCGGCGCACTGAATCACACGAGCCGCCGACAGAATGGTGCCAGCGCTACGAGACGCACGCGCCCGCCCCCGGCTTTTTAGCTATCTTGCAACTTATCCGGAACAGGGGTAGGTTTCCGGATCGGCTTTAGGGGCCTTGGCTTCAGGTCACGTTCTCAACGCGATGAAGTCCGCAAACTAGCTACACGTCGGCCGTATGACTCATAGCGCACCACCGAAAATAAAAGAAAAATAAATCATCGGAATCCATATCACATATTGTACTCCAGAGTATCAGAAAGCAAGTCATGTTTGCCGACGATGATAAGGCAAACAGACACGGAAAGACAAATAAGTTTTCCCGAGTTCCCTTTACCGTGTGAGTTAGTCAATTCCAAATATACGATCTGTTGTTTGCAGTGCGAGTACTGGCTATCTATGTGTCAATTCCTTGCGACTATCACACACGACAGATTCATGCCCTGTCAGATAAGCGATTACCGGGCATAACCCCCGCAATCACGAGCCACAGACCATTCGTACGGTCTCTGACCTATCGGGAACCACCTCCCCACCCAGCGTCCCCCGCAGTATCCGCGGACGGCAGGCAGCACACTCACCAGCATGTGCATGCAGTGGATGGCCACGGCGCCGATCAGCTGCAGGCCGATGATGCCGACCAGCAGGCCCGAGTTCTTCATGGCGTCTGGCATGGCCAGGATCCCGGAGCCGACGTTACCCTTCAGCAGGTGGATCAGCGTCTCGCAGCTCCTGCGAGGGCAGACAAACGAGACGTCAGGAGCCGAGTACGGAGCACGTCAGTGAAGAGCGAAATACGCAGCTGAATTCACTCTAGCTGTAAGCGTAGGTAGGTCAACTGTCTTTTGCCATTTTTAAAACCTTTTAAGCCTCGTCTGGACTGGACATGCTGCCTCGAGGCAGCATGTCCCTTAGCGATCGCTAAGGGGCCCTAGTGAAGGTCGAGTTAGCCCTATCAGCTGGCCCCTCTGCCCCCCCCCCCCACCGTTTGACCCCGCACACTCACGTGGTGGCGTTCTGGGGCGTGTCGTCGTCCACGGCGCTGGAGGAGCTGGTGCTCTGCCCCAGCAGCGGAGACTCGTCACTCTCGTCGTCCCGCTTGGCGGCCGGGGCGGCGCCCTGCCGGCTCAGCTTCACCGGCGGGTAGTAGCTGTCGGCCAGCAGCAGCTCACCGCCGCCGCCGGCCTCAGCCTGGCCCAGCCGCTGGTAGCCGCCGGCCGCCTCGCTCATCATGCTGCCCCGCTGGAGGCCGCACTCAGCTGCACCCGCCGGCACCGGCGGTCTGAGGGAGGGACGGACGGTCAGCTGGTGGGGTGGAGCACAGTGAGATGTAGGGTGCTCTCAGTTTTGTTTTGAATAAATTGATGTGTTGAGCTTGGAATCAAGTGGTGAATTATGGTGCCTATGCTGTATTTCCCATGGGTTGAATGTGTTGTAGGTACTGGTAATGTGCCTCACTTGCGGGTATGCAGTCATGATCTGGCTTGAAAAAACTCCTGCATTTCTTTTGGAAAAGTTGCAATGATTGTTGTGCCCCAATTACTGATAAATGGACATTTCCCTTTCCGACTTCCGAGCATAAATGTAGGTATGTCACAAAGCAAGAGTTCTTGTTTCCTACCTTACCTTACCTTACCTTACGGTATCGGGATTTTTAGGCTTATAGCCTGTCGTACCCGATCTCATCGAGCTCCTGGTATTTGGCTTGTCGAGGATCAATCGGAATCGGGAATGGTGTATCGTAAGTGGGACCAGTGTGCATCCAGCCTCGCCTTGAAGCAGTTGATCGATGGGACGCACACCACCTCAGCCGGGAGTCGGTTCCAGTCGTTCACGACCCGTAGAGCGAACGAGGATCGTCGCACTCTCGAGGTTGCCGGACATTTCCTCACTTTGTATGGATGCCCACGAGTAACTCCATCGGCCAGCGTGAAGAATGTTTCAGGGTCGGTATCGAGCCCTCCGTGAAACAGCTGGTACATGAATATCATATCTCCTCTACGTCGTCTGTAGTAGAGTGAGGGCATCTTCAGCATTCGGAGCCGCTGCACGTAGGGTTCGTGACGGATGTTCTCAACCAGTCGGGTTGCCCTGCGCTGCACTCTCTCGATCAGTCGCCGGTCCGCTCTGTTAAACGGTCCCCACACGAGGTTGCCGTATTCTAGGTGCGGACGAACCAGAGTCTTGAAGAGAAGAGGCAAGGTGATCTCATTAATGAGGGAGAACGACCGCCTGATAACTGCGAGGAGCTGAGTTGCCTTTGCCGCTGCTGATGCAGCATGTTCACGGAACTTCAGTTCGGCGTCCACATGAACTCCCAGATCCTTTTCAAGGCGTGTGCTGGCTAAGGAGGTGTTGCCCAGTGTATAAGTAGCTCCACAATTTCTTGTTCCTAGGTGCAGCACTGTACACTTCTTCTGGTTGAATGCCATCATCCATAAATCAGACCATCGTGACAATGACGTAAGATCCGTTTGTAAGGCGACCGAATCGCTAGGAAGACGAGTGCAAGCGTACAGCTTCGCGTCGTCGGCAAACAATTTCACGGTACAGTGCACCACGTCTGGCAGGTCATTCACATATACCAGAAAGAGCAAGGGTCCCAGCACGGAGCCCTGGGGTACGCCGCTAGCGACCTCCGTCCAGTTCGAGGGACATCCGTCAATGACCACCTGCTGCTTTCTGTTTGTGAGGAACGCCTGGATCCAAGCCAGTAGTTTGCCGGACACCCCGTAGCTCTGGAGCTTACTGAGAAGTCGTTGATGTGGCACGGAATCGAAGGCCTTCTGAAAATCAAGGTAGATGACATCCACTGGGCTGCTTTGTTCGATGGCCCCACTCCAATCATCCAATGCTTCTAGAAGTTGGGTACTGCATGATCTGCCCGGACGGAAGCCATGTTTCCAAGAGGCTTTTGTGATGACAATTGGCAATCAGTTTTCCCGTATACCTACATGGTGTCTTTTTGATTATTTTTGAGCCATATAAACCTAATTACACAAAGATAAGCAGATGATGTTGATGTTTAATTATGCCACATTGTACTATCAGAAACATAGTTTCATGGCTGCAGTTATATGCATAAGAAATTATGGAATAGCTCAGCGAAAAAGTACAAAAATCCAACACAAGTCATGAACCAAACATCTTTATTAGTTTAATTTCCCATGTTGATGTTGATATGGTGCCTTTCACTTTAACACTAGCAATAAATTCATAAATTTCACTGCATGCTACTGGCACATAAGAAGGGCACCAGAACACAAAAATATGAAGAAAAAAATACATGAAAACTCACTCACTTCTGCTGACCGAAAGAAAGAAAAGCAGCTGGAGTTTGACCTTGATGTCCGAGGTCTTCGATGAAGCCAACGACTAATTCCAACGACCACTGAAATCGGAGTATTGGTATGAGCTACCACTTCAACGAAGTTTCGCGCAAGGGAAGCTGGTCCTCTAAAATTCACAGGCCTTCTACCAGAGACACAACCACACGGAGAGAATCGCACTGCGAAACTGAACCCCGCCGCCCATCGCACAGTGAGACGGAATCACAACAGAGGCAATGAACTCAATGAACCGAAGTTGTGGCATATAGATGGCGCCCCAAGCCAGCCAAACATTGGCCGACGAGCACATGGAAACGTCACCGTGATGGAAACCTGACTGCTAGCGACACCTAGAACGTATGATACTCTGTCTTCTTGATCGTCCGCTAGGGGTACCCAGTAGGCCCATATCAGTAGCATTAGCTTCGGACTAGGGAAGGACTGAGAGCACTGAGAGATTCACGTCTGGCGTGGAGGGTGGTCCACCCCGAGAGAGAGAGAGACCGAATTGAGGACACGGAGACATAGATTCAGGGCCTGTCCTGGAGGCAATTCACAGACACGTTGCCAGATGTGACCCGACGTGCAAGTAAGGCCATATGACTGAGAGCCGCACAACTGCACACTGGTGTTCTCAGTCGGCTACGTACATCGGCTGCCCTCCCCTGCTCAGTTATCTCTTAGGAACCGGAAATATACTGGCAGCTAGCTGGACCCACCCAAAACGGTCCGCCCCTGCGCAGAGCGGCATTTCCCCTCCCGCGGCATTTCGTGCAGAGCAGCCGTCGCGGGTCACTGGGTGCAGTTTGAGCTGGAACGGGAACATTTCCAGAGTGAGTTTCCGTGCCTCACAGTCGCCGACCGGCTGGGGCGCCTCCTGTGCGGCAGATACCGGCGACTTTGCACCCGGCGCCAGATAGGCCGGGACGGTCGCCGGTCGGCGGGACAGTCGGGACTCGGGAAACAGATGGAACCACCACCAGCGGGCCCGGCCGACCACCTCCACCCACCCCGCCGCCGGCCGGAACAACAGTGACAGACATACAGAGGTCATCGGGCGGACCGATTTAAGTCCGACCAAATGCTGACGCGTAAACAGACCAATACCAGCTTACAAAAATGCATATCACAAACAATGCATCACCGAGCGATAACCCGCTATTTTGAAGCTCGCCACTCGACAGCTATATTCACTTTTTGATAATGAAAACGTTTATTCTGCGCATCAATCGCAAAACAAAAAGTTCATTTACAGATATGATAAAGACATTTCGAGTATCATTGCAGGTCAGCTCATTTGATCACAAGCATGGACTGGCCTGAGCTAATTTGACGAATATAGTATCTTTTATTCATCAAACCTATAACATAAAAGCTTGAGCTACGTGTGCTTTACGAAAACATGACCGTGAGCAGCACAAATCCCAGAGCTGAAATACTGCTAACGATTTCATGAGCGATCAATGCATGATGAATGAACACTAGGCTTTTCAATATATCTACAACGGCTCACTGGTGCCAGCTACTCGAGCTCCTAAAAATAAGGAATGGTTACTGGCCATTTCTGAATTAAATAATCCCTTCTTGGGGCTGAACTGTTCAGCATGCTTATCAAACCGTGTCACACAAATTCACATTATACGGTAAATGCAGAGGCGAAACACAACACTCATATACACATCCGGCAATAAACAGCAGCACAGCCAGTTGGCATGGCACATCGATAATCTCCGTAATTCATGGTCATGCGTCTGTGGAGCTCTCGGCCGGCGTCAGTGGCAGTTTCGGCAGTTGGGATGGCACAGTTTGCCGTTGACCCGGCACCGGCAGCCTCCGGAGCTGTCCCCGCGGCCACGCGGGCCCCAGCGCGCCTTCCCCGTGATCCAGCACACCTCGTTGCGGCACGCCGGACACAGCATCCAGTCACAGCCGTCCTTTTTCATGAGCACGATGCGGCAGACGGGGCAGTTGATGGCCTGCCGGCGGGCCAGCATGTCCTGCAGGTAGGCCTGCGTCTGGCGTGCCTCCTCGTTGTGGCGCGCGTCGGCCGCCAGCCTCTCCTGGTAGTCGCGGCAGTCGATGCCCTCGTGGATGGCGCGGCACGTGATGCAGTTGACGCGCGTGCACACCGGGCAGCAGAACGTGTTGACCGTGTCCTCGAACTCGCACCAGCCGGCGCACGAGGCCGTGCGACAGTGGAACGAGTTGGCCGTGTTGCCCTCGGCCTGGCGCAGCGAGCGCGCCAGGTGACGCTCGTAGTCCTCGTCACTGACCAGCGCGCGTATCTCCTTAGCTGTCAGCGTGCTGGTGCAGCTGTACTCGTTACTGACAAACGGACACTGCACCTCGGGCGCGTCGCAGTGGCGCACCAGGCCGGCCAGGCAGTCGCGGCAGAACGTGTGCAGACACTCCTTCAGCACGACGCCCTCGCCGGGCTCCATGGTGCAGAAGCAGATGGGACAGTCGAACGGGTCGGCGTTGGGCGCCAGGTCCTGCTGGCCGATGGCCTGCAGCGTGCCCCACATCTGGCGGGCGGCGCGCTCCTCGCTGGCGTGCTGCAGCGCGCGCTCCATGCGGCGCGTGTAGGCGGCCGGCCCGAGCAGAGCGCGCACCTCCTCCTGGAGCAGGTAGCTCTCACAGCGGTAGTCGGAGCTGGTGCACGGGCACGGCACCTCCTCCAGCACACAGCCCTCGGCCACGTCCACCAGACACGACCGGCAGAACGAGTGCAGACAGTCCTTGAGCACCACGCCGGCGCCGGGTGCCGCCGCGCTGAAGCACAGCGGACACTCGAAGCGCGTGCTGTTAGTGACCAGGTCGCGCATGGTGGTCTCGGTCAGACTGGGCCACAGCTGGCCGGTGGCGATGTCAAAGCCGGCCCGGTTCAGGCAGCGCATGTCGCGCAGCGCCATCACCTCGGCCGAGACGAGCGCGCGCACCTCGCTGTCCAGCAGCACGCCGCGGCAGGCCATCTCCGTGCTGGAGAACGGACAGCGCACCTCCGTGTCGTCGCAGTGCTTTACCAGGCTGGCGAGACACTGCCTGCAGAAGGTGTGCGTGCACTGGCGCAGCACCGCGCCGCTGCCCGGCGGGATGTCAAACAGACAGATGGTGCACTCGAACGACTCCTCATTGGGCGTCACACACGGGTGAGGAACCACTGCTTCTTGGGGCGAGCCGCCCGCGCGCTGCGGCTCGTCGTCTTCTGTCCCCTCCTCTGTTCTCTCGCGACTCTCATTCGGTAGGAGCTCGACGATTTCGGCAGCCTGTTCGTCGGACGCCTCACTGTCGTCCTCACTGGGACGCACGCGAGAGACCGCTTGGCTCGATTCGGCGCCTTCGTCCCGTGAAACGTTTCCGTCAGTTTCCTCGGTCAAAGGCCTCGCCAGCTCTTCTCCAACAAGAGCCATGGTGAACGGTTGGATGGCGCTGGCCTCGCCACACAGTTATTTAGGGCATTATCGTGGTCTGAATGTCTGAAACAGAAAAGAAAAGCTGATGATGAAACGGTAAACACTCCACTATGTAGCGGACATATCCTAACTCGAAAGCTTAAAATCGGTAATACGGGTAGGTACAATAATTTATGATCTATAGATTATGTAGTGCGTAACGAGACGTACTTGTAATGATTAATAAAACATTATTTAGAATACAGCCTTCATTGCAACACAGTAACGAAAAATAACTACATACGTCGAACTAACAAAACGTTTATCGGCGTCGTTCCCTTCCAAACGCACTTATCCGCCCGACCCAGAGGAACACCGCGCTTACTTTACGAATAACGCGCAGTTCACTACCTCTCGTCACACTCCTCACAGCCTCACCCCACTCCCCTCCACTTCACTCCAACTCCCCGCACGTCCCTGCGCCGGTCCGGACGGCCACCCGCCGACTGGCGCCCGCTCACATACCGGCACGCGCGGTTCCAGTCCAGGCTGACAGCGGATCCCCGGACAGCCGATAGGACCGTATATACAGGCGCCGCCGGCTGCACACAGCTCACCGGGCACAAAACCGACACTCACGGCGCGGAAGGGCCCCGCCCGGGCCGCCTGCACCGCGCCCTGTCACCCTCTGATATGCAACTGATCGGTCGCGGCGCACCGCCAGTGGCGCTAGAGGTGTGCTGAAGGAGTCGGATTGCGACAGCCGCAGCGCGGGGCCGCGGGGGACCAGTCAGACGCTATCAGTGAGGGGAGGAGGCGGACTTTGTGCCCAGTGAAGGTTCAACACAACAACGCTCGATATTGTAGGACACCGAGATACACCGGCGAAACGGCACACACCGCCCAGCCCCGGTGAGAATTGGCCCAAGGCTGCACTTTCAGATTACCGATGATACGAGTATGTAAGCTGCCGAGCATGCGTACAAGATACACCAAAATTTGGCCTTCGATGACAAATCCGAGTCTAACAAGGCGACGGAAACGGGATGAGGATGAGGCCACAGGTAATGCAGTGGAGCATTAGAGATGGCGGAGAGGGCACTGGTTTAGCCTGGACGCCCGCGAAGGGGACTCTGACGTCGCCCCTGGACGCGGATGTCCCGACACGACGGCGCTGCAGCTCGCGCTCCGCCTGCAAGTCGATACGGGCGGGCTGGCGAAGGGCAGCCGCCGCGTTGCCAATACAAATACCATGTCCAATGGCCATGCCCCTGGCGCTATTGAAATGGTCACAGGATGAAAATCGAAGACATAATCGCATGCCACGCAGCCACAGCAACTGCGTAGTGGTGCAAGTTCGTAGGAAAACGAGGCTTTTCTGACGTCAGTATGAATTTTGACCCATCAGTTCAGCGTATCCATGACAATGAACTTCCCGATAAAATAAAATATAGTTCGTATTACTTTTTGATGTCAAATTTCGGAAGCATAGCTAAAATCAGCTAAAAAATGACACAATTACATAGTTTATTCAGCGGGCGCAATCGTCCTCATTGTCACGTCGAATGACGAATCATTCATGGCGATCGATATTAGGACCCGCCTGTCGCAAGCATCAGCAACATATTTACGTGAGCGATCAACTATACTCATATTACTCATATATGATGCACTATAGCTTTATCGCACATGCATATCGCACAACTTTATGCATAGGTACTATAAAGTGGTGACTACATAGTTTGCAGCGTGTCTGTGATTTCGTTCGGATATTAATAATTCGACCCGTCGTGGACCCGTCCCTTGTTTTGTATTTTCATCACCGGAAATGTCTACGACAGAAAACTCCACACAGCCGGTAACTTGCTGCAGTGAATAACGCTACCTTTCGCGCGTAGGCAACAGGAACACTTTGAACATTTTTAGACACACAAAGAGATAAATGTGCCAAACTTCTACAGATCATTTGCTTTTATCTATATCGGCCGCCAGGCATGCATCATATCCCTCAAAACTAACTATGAGATCAACATCTTTTTAACGTCGGCCCTCTGTAACATTCAGTAAATTAGCATTTCATTTGAAGAAGACTTCCTTCTTCATTTTGTGCACATGGTCTTCTTGCTTTAGGCATTTAGGGAAAGTCAAATTGATATTTTATCAGGGGTGTGCAATTCCTTTCAGGTAAGATGAATTAATCCTCACAAGAACGATGGTTGGGATTTCATAGAGTGAAAATCTTCCAGAGCTACGTGTAAGGTGTAATGGGCAGACTGTCATGAGATAGATGCTTGAAATGTTGCAAAGATATTTGCTTGCAAGTCAAGGGTTTGATAAAGTGAAAATATGTTTCTTTTGATGATGTATTTACCAACCATGTCATTATTCAGTATTCGCCACACCACAACAATGCTTTTAGGTTAGCCAGTGTTATCAACAATGTGATACCTACTGCTAAACCTATTATTGAACAATACTATAGTCCTTAATGATATCTGCTGAAAATCAATACCTAAACCTCAAAAATTGTAAATCCAAACACATTTTTTGCTTAGTTTGTTGGGTTAGTCCATACATCATAGATAGGCAAATCAAATTTGGTGAGCTCTGAATATGTCAGCACACATATTTTAGGATTACTTAACAGCAAGTAAATAGCATGCATAGTCATACAGTCAGACATGTGCATGGATCACAATAATAGATCTATGATCTCAGTGGATTTCAAAACAAACAATAGGTAAATCAGGATCCATGATCCCACTAGATAGTAGACTAGAGATATCATATGAAAAAATATGCCCTGGATCTATGACCTCATAGGATCTGACAATAAATCAAGACAGGGATCTATGATCCAAGTTTAGTGAATCCTACTCAATGCAACATGTGAACCAAGTTCTCATGTGGTTTCATGTCAATAAGTACCACAAACTATGAACTGTTATTTGTATTCACAATATCCCTGAAACAGAGCCATTGCAAATTGTAGCAATTGTCCCTTGAATTTTGATGCAAACAAAAATTGAGTAGGGTCAGTAGGGATCTATGAGATATGTTTTCACCAGATCTCTAAGCAAAAAAAAAGGTTTGAGCTTGATCTTTGATCTCAATGGATGTCACCACAACTGAGAATTTGATCTCTGATCCCAACAGATCAGATATCAAGAACTGTGGGATCAGTTCCCAGATACACTTTCTTGGATCTGTGTTCATGCCTGCAAGCAGCAAACCTCATATGTGACACAGGAAAACACAAGCCTATAATACCACTAACACATACTAGATAGAGGTGGGACAATTCTGTAATGTAAATTGTAAGGAGATTTGAGTAGGTACCTGGCTTGGAAAGCATTTCCTGAATCAAATGTTGTTGGCTAAGGTGTTGTTTTGGTCAGTTTCATGACTGGCTGAGTGGTGAGTGGCATGGCCTATGCCCACCTTGGCATTGCAAGATGAGGTCAAGATTCAACCATCATTTTATTTATATCACAAAACCTTCCCTTTATATCACAAAATTTCAGCGCACGTCCGGGGTAACTTCCCTTGCGCTGAATTCAGCACGGGGCGGCCGATGAATTTTTCGGCGCAGGGCGGCCGCAGAATATTTCGGGGAATGGCGGTCACCAAATGTTTCGGCACGCTGGTCAATCTAGCAGTAGATTCGCCCTGCGGGCGGCTCTGAAAAGGCTCGGGACGATACGTCCCCCGCCCCGGTCGTCGCGTGCTCCGACTCGTGAGCCGCCTTGAGTCTTCTCATCGCAGGAGCGGCCGCCCAGGTGAGGCCTCCACCCTCGGCGCGGAGATAGGTTTGGAAAACCTTATGGAACATCACCGAGCGTCGTGAAGTAATTCTGCAGTGGGTTCCTGCTCAAGTCAGTGGCGGATCCAGAGAGGGGGCCATCAGGGCCATGCCCCCCTTTGGCCTCCCGGGGGGCACCAGGGGCCCGAGTTCCGAGGTCTCAGGAGCACCATCCCGAGGTCTCCGGGGCACCATCCCCCTGAGTCAGTGACCGAAATCCGTGAATTTTTTAGGGGGTACCAAATGCCAGGGGCACCACAATACAGTATGCCCCCCCCCCCTTGACGAAATCCTGGATATGCCACTGGCCCAAGTTCCTGCCCACTGCAGGATCGAGGGGAATGAGAGCGCCGACGAACTGGCGAAACAAGCGGCCGTCCTGCCCTCGAACGCCCGCTCGCTGACCCGGGCGGTTCATTATGCGGCCTCGCGTCAAATGGCGCGACAACTGATTCAAGCCAATCTTAGCTAGCTACTCCCCATCCCCGGAGAGGACCGAGAGGACGCCGTTTCGATGCACCAGATGGGGGCGGGCTACTGGGCCCGCTCGGCGCTCGCTCCAGTAAGTGCACCGAATCGGCCGTCTCCCCTCCGCGGCATGCCAGTAGTGCACAAACAAACGGTGCCCCACGGCGCAAAGTGACGAGAAAAGGCTGAGGTGCCGGAGCACGTGCTGCTCCGCTGCCTGCCTGCCAGCCTCAAACACACCACTCCGCCAATTTTTGTGGCCCCAAAACTTCCAGCCCGGGCCTTGTTCCACGACACGATAGTGCGCTACGCGTATTGTGGCATTGGATCACCTAATTCGGATGCTCAATCATTAGACAGAGAGCTCCAAGGCCCCGGAGCGCTCTGTCTGGTTGATACAGCCGTGGTCAGTAGAAGTGCAAAAGTGCTTTAAATAAAAGTGGCTTAATTTTGGCACAAATAGGCACCAAACTTTTGGTGAAATCAAGCAGAAATTTCAGCTCAAAATCGCTTGGCCGAAGTTCAGCGCATGAGGGTCTAATGGGAGTGAGGCGTAGTGTAAGGATGTTTTCCAGCCTGGGTTGGTCCCTATCTGATAGCAATTTTTAAATCAATACAGGATTGGTGAATGTCAGGTGAATTTTAGCACCTGTGTTATGAGGTCATCAGTGGCGCCAACAAATAACTAAATGAAAATACTTCTATTGAATAAAAGTATTTTCATAATTATTTAGTTACTTGTTGGCTCCAATAATCTCATAACACAAATATGTCTTTACATATTTAGCACCTGTAACAGAGCATCAACCATTCACATGAGAGGCTCATGATTATACACAATACTCAATTATAAGAAAAGATAGTAAAATGGCTTGACTTAATGATCAACTAGAATACAGGCTGGAAATTTACGATACAGATCACATTCACAAAGGTTTGGTGAATTGGACCTGGATATATATGTTGATTTGCAATTTTTGGTATATCTTTGAAAATATCTGAATCAAACGTCTCAGAAAATATATCCTAACAAGGCGAAATGGAACTAAGGGGGCATAGCAATAAGCTGCAATGGGAATTGGGAATGCCAAGCACAGTTCAGGTAAATGTCAAGTTTAAGTCCTAAGCAGAGTTCATTGATAAATTTTACATATTTTTACATTATTTGACATCCTGAATCCAAATATGATACTCGTATGTCTCGCAAATAAAAGAAAAAACATAATCAAACCTGACCTAACCTTACCTACTTACCTATAACCTACCAACCTACAACCTACAAACCTACAACCTAACAACCTAAAACCTACAAACCTACCTACCTACAACCTAAAACCTACAAACCTACAACCTAACCTAACCTAAAACCTAACATTTTTGCTGTAACATATTCGTATCAACAGCGTCACAATTGTAGTTAGGACCTAAACTTGACATATACCCACAGTTCATGCCGAGAACTCACTAACCTTACGTTTTCCTTCAGTGCTTAAAGAAAATTCAAAAAAGAATTGTGTTGTTTTTATAGATTCTAGTTTACCTACTTTTTGAAGTTCATCCATTTTTTTATTAAACATGGGTCAAAAGCATAATGCATTAATTCTTTTTGAGGCTGATGACAATAGATAACAATCCATCAAGATAACATTACCTTTATATTGCAGTTCAAATAGGGATAACTGAATGGCTAAGAATGGTTCAAAAATAAGTGCTGTTACAAACACACACATGCAATTCAAATTACCAAACAAATCTTTTTTCAGTGTTTGTGTTTACATTTTCGAACTCGAACTCGGTATCGTCACGTGGTTCAAGGATGATTGTATTCATTCGTTAAAATGCTGCAAAAATTGTGTTTACGTTTTAGGTCAAGGCCACTAAAACAACTTGTGTGAGACGTGAGGTAAATTTTTTTTCACTTGTATTTCACTTTAAGCTATTCTTTTCCCATATCCTCCTCTGAAGTTGATACATTCATACATACATACATACATACATACATGCATGCATACATACACTCTGATAAACAGCTAACCAAAGACACTTGTATATGTAGGTAGGTACTGTCACCTCACCTGGGGGTCGGGAATGGGATCGTGGTATGTGGGAGAAACCTTGGAATCAGTTATAGGTATGTTCCAGGAGCATGCTGGATGCAGCATATTTCGGTCCTGAACTCCATTCTACATTCCGCAACAAAACCTCTTCTCTAATCGCTGCCTCCTTCGCGCAGGATGCTGGCGTCGAGCGCTTCTCGCCTGCTGCGGGGACTGAGCGCGTCCGTGCGGCCGGTGCGGCTGTTGAGCCGCACGGCGCCGGCGCTCGCGCCGCGTGTCCAGCAGCCGGCGCCCGACTTCAAAGGCCAGGCGGTGGTGGACGGCGAGTTCCGCACCGTCCAGCTGTCCGACTTCAAAGGCCAGTACCTGGTGTTATTTTTTTACCCGCTCGATTTCACATTCGTGTGCCCCACCGAGCTGACGGCGTTCAGTGACCGTATGGACGAGTTTCGTGCGCTCAACACGGCCGTCGTCGGCGTGTCCACCGACTCGCAGTTCTCGCACCTGGCGTGGATCGACACGCCGCGGCGCAGCGGCGGTCTGGGCGGCCTCAGCTACCCGCTGCTCTCCGACTTCAGCAAGGCCATCGCGCGCGAGTACGGCGTGCTGCTCGAGGACGAGGGCGTGGCTCTGCGCGGCCTCTTCCTGATCGACCCGAGCGGCGTGCTGCGCCAGATGTCGGTCAACGACCTGCCTGTGGGCCGCTCGGTGGACGAGACGCTGCGTCTGGTGCGCGCCTTCCAGTTTGTGGAGGAGCACGGCGAGGTGTGTCCGGCCAACTGGCAGCCCGGCGGCGCCACCATCAAACCCAGCCCGGCCGAATCCAAGGAGTACTTTGAGAAGGTGGAGTGAGGACGGAGCGATATCTGCTGCGAGCTTACCCGGTTATATCGTGGAGGTAGGGATGTCTGTGAAAGGTTGTGAAAGTGATTGCGATTGAGGCGTATGATGTGAGTGGCTAGTCATTAAAATGCGGGTTTGGAAAGAGGAAACTCTAGTCTTGACGTTGATCTTATATTGTGCGTACCTAATTCAAAATGGGACGGAGCCAAGTATGATGACATGCCAGTCTTGCGTACCAATACAATATCATGTCTCTATATACATCTCGACTTTTCAGAAATTCATCGAAGTTCGTCACCAGTGCGTTGTCGTTTGCTGTTACGGTAATGGTATAATTCAAAATTTGTGCATTTTGGCATTAAAATTTTTTGTTCCGACTTCTTTCAGTATAGACTTAAGAATTAGAAATACTAAACGATGGGACCATTTCGGACTTGACTGAGGTCCAATTATCGTCGGTTGCAGATGTCCGTTGGTCTCCTCTCACACTAGTTAGGCATATTTTCGGCAAAAGAAAATCAAGTTAACGGCTTTTAGAAAGAAGAATTAATCAGTAGAAGCCACCAAGCATTCAAGGCAGAGCTTAGTGTGTAGTGTAGTGTACAATTAGACCGGCGTATGCTGTGACTAGTGTGCCCACTGCCCTCTCGCCTGGGCCGTTTCTGCTGGCGCCGCAATCTTGGGCGCCGCCACCACTGGCAACCGCTGCCACCTGCAGGGCAAATGAAAAACTAGCGGCCGACAACGACCAGACAACCGTCTCGTCGGCAGCAAAGCACGAAGCTCCAAAGCAAAGCGACGCGACATCCGACGAGCATTGTCCACTATTTCGATGCATTCCTGGGAATTTATTTTAGCCGACTTTGTATCACGCTCTGATGCACTCTGTTCTGTCGTGGTTCTGTCCTCGCCTCGCGTTACTCAGCTGTGCGACGCCTGGCCCGAGAGCGATTCGGAATGGCACACTTCTGTATTAGTCCGACACACCCGGCACGGGACTCCTCCGTGCCGGCTCCCCGTCCAGACACATGCCCACGCGGCCAGGGCTCAGCGGCGACTGCCCACACTTCCGGCCGCCGCGCCGGCCCACGCATGCGCGTCTCCGGCCGCCGCACCGGCCTAGCCACGGGCGGTCCCAGCCGCGGTCGGAGGGGGGACGGCTCAGGATACCACACCTCACCCCCTTTACATAAACACAAATGACGCGCACGAAAAGAACCAATAAAAACGTACACTGCTCACACAGAAAACAACTCCTTCCCGCCGCACAGACTCAATCGAGCGAGACCACTGCGCGCCGAACAGTGCCCATCAGCATAAAAAACTACACACCGCCACACAGACACTTCCGACTGCGAGCACCGCCTCTGCGCGTCGAGCGGCGCGGAGTCCCCGGCTGCGCGCGGCGCCGTGGGCTGCCAGCCCGACCGGTCGGTCCGGCCTCCGCCTCCGACGCTAGTCCGTTGAAGTCTGGCTCACCAGCACTGGCTCCTCCGCCGCCCGCAGGCTCTACGGTTCCGGCTCCTCCGCCGCCCGCCAGCTCGCCTCTGCCGTCCGCCGTCGGCCCGATGGCTCCGGCTCCTCCGCCGTCCCTCGGCCTCCGGCTCGCCTGCACCGCCGTCCACCCGCTCGGACCGTCCGACCCTCCCGTCGTCTGACGGCTCGCCTCTGCCTCCGTCTGCTGACACGACGGCACCGGCTCCTCCGTCGTCCGCCGGCCCGTCTCCTCTGTCGGCTCCTCTGTCTCCGCCGCCGTCTGCCGACTCGACAGCTCCGTCTCCTCTGCCGTCTGACGGCTCGCCGCTGTCGACGTCCGCCGACTCGGCCGCTCCGGCCCCTCAGTCGCCCGTCGGCTCGTCTCTTCTGCCGTCTGCCGACTCGACAGCGTCGGGTCTTCCGTCCGCCGGCTCCCCGGATCCACCTCAGTCCCCGGATCCGCTTCCGTCCACCGGCTCCATTGGTCCGCCTCCGTCCGCCGGCTACTTGGATCTGTCTCGGCCCGCCGGCTCCACGGAACCACCTCCGTCCGCGGTCTCCCCAGATCCGCCTCGGCCAGTCGGCTCCCCGGATCCGACTCCGTCCGCCAGCTCCCCAGATCCGCCTCGGCCCGCCGACTCCCCCGATCCGCTGCCTTCCGCCGAATCCCCGGATCCGTCGCCGTCCGCCGGCTCCACGGATTCACCTCCGTCTGCCGGCTCCCCGGATCCGCTGCCGTCCGCCGGCTCCCCGGATCCGTCGCCGTCCGCCGGCTCCACGGATTCACCTCCGTCTGCCGGCTCCGCAGCTCCGCCTCCTCACGGCATTCGCCGGCCGGAGCGGTGCTGCCTGGCGCGGCCGACAGGAGCTGGTCGCAGTGGTGCGACCACAGACTGCCTCTGCCGACGTCCACCTCGTACGAGACGAGTCCGGTCCGCGTCACAACCCGGCCGCGGACCCACTTCTGCGGCCCTCCGTAGCACCGGGCCCACACTTTCGCACCGGCTCCGAACGTTCTCCCTCGGTTGCCGGCTGCCGTCCATTGCCGCTCCGCGCTGCCTCGGAGTGCTGCGTAGTGGCGTCGAGCGCCGCCGCGGTCCCGACGGACTCGCCTCCCGGCGCCGCCGCCGTCACGACGCATTCCGCTCACTCCGCTCCCGGCTTCGCCGCAGCCGCAAGGGACCCGGCTCCTGTCGCCGCTGACACCTTCGAGTTCACCAGCGCGACCTCCGATCCTGAGGTGACCCGCGCGGCCTCCGGCTCCCTCAGAGCCCCGACGCCTGCCATCGCCGCGGCGCCCGCCACCTCCGCCAGCACACCGGCACCCAGCGGCCTCCCGGCGCCCGCCATCGTCACGGCACCCCTTGCTCTCGCCGCCGTACCGGCGTCCGCCGGCTTCGCCAGCGCCCCGGCGTCCACCAGCGTCTCGGCGCTCGCCAGCGTCCCGACGCCCACCAGCATCCCGGTGCCCGCTGTCGTCCCGACGTCCACCAGCATCCCGGCGCCCGCTGTCGTCCCGCCGTCCGCCAGCATCCCGGCGCCCGCTGTCGTCCCGCCGTCCGCCAGCATCCCGGCGCCCGCTGTCGTCCCGCCGTCCGCCAGCATCCCGGCGCCCGCTGTCGTCCCGCCGTCCGCCAGCATCCCGGCGCCCGCTGTCGTCCCGACGCTCCTTGCTCCCGCCGGTGTCCCGGCGTCCGATTCCTCCACCGGCGTCTCGCAGCGCCAGCGGCACCGGACGCGCCCGCCGGTACATCAGCTTGGCATCCGACTTCAGCCGCAGTCCTCCCTTGATCGGGATGCGTCCCAGCTCCTCGTTGAGGACAGCTGAGTGTCTCTCCGGCACGCCTTCGAGCGTCCGCGCCGGCTGCACGCGGCATACCCGAGCCGATGACGTCATCAGACCAAGCGCCTGCAGCCACTCGCGTCCCATCAGCGGACGGTGGGGTCCCAACCCGGTCACCACCAGCCGCAGACGGGTCGCGGGTCTTCCCGACGCCGTGACGCTTACCAGCGCCTCCCCTCTCAAGGGAATGACCTGACCTGTGAACGAGGTCAGGCGCAGGTCACACGGGTCCAGCAGCTGCAGAAGTCCCCGCTGCCGCGCTGTCTCCGCGCTCACCAGCGACACCGGGCTCCCCGTGTCCACGACCATTGCCAGCTGCTGGCCGTTCACCGTCACCGTCTTCATTTCCGGCTCAGCGGCGCTGGCTTCGACTGAGTTCACCAGCCACGCGTCGCCGTCGACTGAGCTCACCAGCCACGCGTCGCCGTCGCCGTCCGTATGTTCCTCCTCCGCAGCCACCAGTCGCACCCGCCGCTGCGGACATGCCGCCTTCAAGTGCCCGGTGGAGCCGCACTTGAAGCATCGCCGCTGCCTGGGCCCTCCATCGCTGCCGCTGTTGCCCGGCGCGCCCCGGCCGTGTTCTCCGGCCGCTCCGCTGCGTCCGCCGCTAGCCGCCTGGCCAGCCGGACAGCGGCTGTCACGGGCGCGCGGCACAGCTCCCGCAGCAGGACAGTCTCGTTGCCAGTGCCCCGCAGCGCCGCACCGGAAACAGGTCCCGCGTCGTGGCTGAGGCGTCCTCACCGTATTGACAGCGGTGCTCGCCGCGTCCGCTCCCGGTTCCTCCACCACGCGCGCACTGGACAGTTGGGCGCCCAGCTGCTTAACGTCCCGGTAGGCGCGGGCACATTGACGGACCTCGGCCAGCGTCAGTCGGTCGCCCCTCGAAGCCGCCAGCTGAACGAGCTTCTCCCGCAGATCGGCTTGGCTGCCCAGCACACACCGATCGCACAGCTCGCGGTCCACCTCCGTGCCTGGGTAACTGCACCGCACGACCTGTGCTCGCAGACGGCCTAGGAACTGCTCCAAGTCCTCCTCCGGCTCCATCTGCATCTGGTGGAAGAGCGCCCTCTCCGCCACCGCGTTCCGCACAGGCGACAGGTACGTCGTCAGCTTGCCCTTCAGCTGTTCGAAGCGGTCATCTGTCCCGCTGTCCTCCGGCAGCGTCTCGCTCAGGTCAGCGATGTCCGGTCCGACCAGGTGCAGCAGTATCGCGCACTTCCGATCTGCCTCCACCACCCCGACTGCACTGAGGTAGCGTTCCAGTCCTCTCAGCCACCGGCGAAAATCCTCGCCCGACCGGAACGGCAACACCGCCGGCAACACCATGCCCATGCCAGCTGCCTCCATCGTCAGACGTCACACTCACCGCGCCGTCCCGATCAGCTGACCCGCCACGCGCCTTCCCGATCAGCTGTTCCGCCGCCCAGCGCACAGCGCCTCCCAGTGGCTCGGCCGCCAACTGTACTAAAGGTCACTGCCGCCGCCTCAGTGACACTGGCGCCTCTACCGCCCCGTCACCGAAACACACAATGGCCGCCTACACCGGCAGTCTCCCAGCCGTCTCCGCTATCCCGGCCGTCGCCGCTATCCCGGCAGTCACCCGGCCGTCGCCGCTATCCCGGCAGTCTCCCGGCCGTCGCCGCTATCCCGGCAGTCACTCTACTCCGGTCCTCTCCCGGCCGTCACTCTCCACTCCTCTCCTCTCCCCCAACCGCCCGACCGCCGGTCACTGGCGCCGCCGCTGTCGGTTCCTGGCGGTTCCCGCGCTTTCTCCGGCGGGGGAGTCACGTGACCGTGACGCCACAGTCACGTCACCGAGCGGAGAGTCCCGACCAATCACACGCACCGTGAGAGTCTTACGTCACCACCGGCCGGCCCAATCACAGCGCAGCCCGCCGACGCCAGCCACCGCGTCGACCGCGCAACATGGCCGCTGCCA